ATGCTAAACTAGATTTCAAAACTATAAAATTAATCAAGCATGTTCTAAAATTTGGACTTGCCACATCATAAGCAATCTTTACACATCATACAACATCACAATCTAAAAATGAGAATAAGTCTTTAGAGATTATTTCAAACAAACAAAATCATAATAGGTTTTCAAGAACTCATGGTCTTTAGAAATACTCCCTAATTAATATTTTGACCTAGTAATAGAACAAAGCGATCAATTCAATGTAAGACTCCAAGTCTCATAATTATTAATCACACAAAAATTCATATGTACAACTATTATTCCATTACAATATAAGAATAGAGTGAGTTTAGTGTAGAATAAAAATTCATCCAGCATACTTTTAGTGGCTCAAGTTATATAATTTACACAAATCCATTCCACATTCATCCCAAATATGGACTTGCCACATCATAAACAGTCTTCACATATCTAGTAAAGAAAATCACAACACCACAATCTAAGCTTTTACGGGCAATAATTTACACAAAAGCTTAACAATTCATACACAAATGAAAATTCATATACAATAGAAGCTTAATTTAACAAATTTAACAATTAAGCTAACAACAATAAATAAAATTTAACATAATTAAGCTAACAAATTTAACACCGCAAGTTCAACGTGAGGGGATATATCATAAAAAAAACAATTCTAAGAGGCATTTTAACAAACACTTTATATGCACAATTCAAACACAATGAACTAAAGTCAATATCAAGCTCTATTTTTTTTAAAATTTAAAACCAATATCAAGCTTACAGTCAAAGAATCATATTCAAGCATTTAGTTCATAAAAATTAATTAACAAATTGAAGCTCAAAGGTACAAATATCAATGAAGGTCAAAGATTGAAATTTCGGGTGCTTCATGGAAATTAAACAACATACTTCAGTTGAAGCATGGCCTAACGTGAAAGATTGAAGCTAGAGAAACAAAGAAAGAAGCTCTGTGAAAACGACAAAGCTTAGTGAATGTGTGAAACACAAATTGAAGCTAAGCACGAAGAACATGAATGCAATGAGAAGAACAAATCACACGAGAACGGGCATTTTAAGGCACAAGCACAACATTCAAAGTTCGAATACGATCAAGGAATCTAAGCTTAAGATTTCAAGTCTAATGATGTGATTATGGGTCTAGGAGTTTTGAATCTCTAGGGTACGCACGATGAAAGAATTGAAAGAGAGGCATTTTTAGAAAATTTAGAAGTATATAAAAACCGGTTATGAATTAAAATTAATTTAGAGATATCAAAAAAGTATTTTTTTTTTAAAGATATCTAAACTGGTTATACAATATAGCCTGTTTAAATGTGTGAAAAACATGTTTTAAAAAAATTAGAATATATATTTAAAATGTAATAAACATGTAAACCAGTTATAAGTTGTAATTGATTTAGATATCACATCAGCTTGCCATTTATTTGCAACAATGCCATCGCCTATTATTTCTAAACTGTAATTGCTTGAATTGGTCTAGATATGTGAGTTTTAAAAGCATATTTTGCCACAGTGTATAGTAAATATACATTTATAAGCTAACATGATATTTTCTCCATAGTAATTAATCTGTTAATCTCTATATTTGTTCAAACAATAAAAAACTATAAAAAAATTCTCCTTTGGAAGTATTGTTAGAGAAGTTGTTGAGTCAAAATATTTTGAATCCATCAATCTCTTCTTTATTTTAGAGCTTTATATTATTAAAAATCTAAAAAGTAAAATTAACTAGAATAATCTTATAAGAAATTAAATACAAGAATTTAATCTAAAAGAACAAAACCAAATATCTCATGTAAACTTTTAGTATTTTCAACTTGAACTATCTCATACAAATAACAGATAACGTAATATTTATATTTTGTGTTCTCTAGTTGCCTGGAACTGAAATAAATAGAAAGTTAAAATTAAACCAACACATGTTAATAATAATATTAAAGCTAAGAGTTCATAATCACGTTTGGGTAAATCTATTTCACCATTGGTTCTAGCTTGCATTCCCCAACCATTATATAGTATATCTTAAGCAAACTATTATTAATTGTAAATGAAAAAATATTAAAAAGATATAAATATAACCTCTAGAAGTAGAGTTTTATATATAGATAAATTTATGAGTAAGTACAAGATACCAGGTGTTTTATAGGGCAATACAATGGATTTTCTCTTAATAATTTTTGTAATAATTATTAAATGTATCAAATAGACTTGCCCCACCGTCCCCTCCATGAGTGGGAGGATTGAGGAACGATGATGCCGAAGGATGATCGAGATACCCTAAATACCGTCACTTAATTTTATTGGCTTAAAATACTTGGCATGCGAGTTCTTCATCTAAGAAGGGGTTTTGTTTTTGAATTTATGCCTCATATGGTATTTTTAATATTATTAGAAAAATTTTTCAACTAAGTTTGTGTGGCACAAATGAGAATAGTTTAAATCCTTTAAAATATTATTTTAAAATTTGATTTTTGAAATATGCATAAAAAGTATTGCTCGGTAAAGAACAACCTCTTAAATAATACTTAAATTTCTTGAAGTACTAGTCTCATAACAATTTGTTGTGTGGATGCTTTGGCCCAAAAAAAAAATAATTCCTCACTTAACTGTATATTTTTTTAAATAAAAAGCAGTCAAAATCACTCTATAGTCAACACATTCCTTTATAGGAAGATGACCATTGAAAAATGACAATCACACAGGGCAGAAAGAGAAACAATAAAAAAAAAAAAACCAACTGCCCAAAAAACAGTAACTTCCAGAAGAGTAATAACAGCAAAGTACCATGCAATACCAAAGTCATTTGATGCAGAGAAAATTGTTATTATTGTTGTTACTACTACTAATACTATTAATTGCATATTGGGAGTTCCAAATCAAATGGAAATGATTCAGAAAAAATTAAAAGAGAGGAAAATAAGTGCAGGAGTTAAATAGAAAAGTGCATAATATCACCAGTGAGAGGGTGACAAATTCAGGTATCACATCAAGAAAGGAAAATGAATTCCTCCTATTCAAACTATGCTCTACAATTGTATTAGCAACTATAATCCTAGTCTCAGTGTCTAATCAAATATTGTCCACACCATGCAAGTCGCCACCTTGGACAATTGTTTTGTGTCGTGGCCTCGTAGGCCCAAAACTGTGCTCTCCGTTTCATTACCCCCCCCCCCCCAAAAAAAAGAAAACCTACCCCAAGCTCATCATAGATCCGGTTCCTTTGAGCCCCTTTTCTCCTTTTCTGGACATTTTTCAATCATGCTTATTCATCAAATTTATAATTTAAATAAATTTATTTAATAAAATAAAATTAATAACCATGATTAAAAAATGGAGGAAAGAGAGAGAGAGAGAGGATATGAAGATACCCCTCTCCCTGTTGCTTTGCTCTTTATTATTGTTATTATTATTTATAAGTATCTTTTTATTGAATGTTATCTTGTTTCAAACACAATTAAATATTAAATGTAGATATCTTTTTCAGTGAGGATTAAAACTTTAGTTCTCCTTTGCTCCTTTTGTCCTCGGTATTCCTCATTTCTAATTAACTCATCAAGAAAAAAGGACAAGTTTATTGGAATATTAAAGTTTTATTACTTTGTTTGCTCTAAATTTAAGTAAGAGTAATTTGATATATGAAAATTTTTTTTTTATCCATCAAAATGTTGCACAAAATTTAAACAAATAACGATGATAATGCTACTTATAGATTGCGTGAAAGAATTTCACTTCAAAATCATAGTATTAATATCGTTAGACTTTTACTACTACAACAACAATTCTAAAATTGCCTCAGCAATCAGCATCATTTTATGTTTTTTTTTTTTTGGTTACATACGTGCAGAAGACAGTCTTGCTTGAGCTACGAAAGTATCAGCCAAGTTCATGTTTACTTTAACTCCATAAAAATTTTTATGTTAATATATAATGAATTTTTTACTAATCACTCGTTAACTGTTACAATCAATAAAATTAGAAATTTCATTATGAAAAGCTGAACGATCACTTTTAATCATGTTTATAGGAAGGCAAACAAATGCATCGACTTGTTGGCTCATCAGGCTCCTACCGAAACTTTCAATGTTCAAATCTTTGATACTTCTTCCTTGGAATGTAAGGATTTTTTGTACGCTGACATAACATAACATGTCTGCACGGTGTTCTTGTGGCTTTTTTATTAAAAAAAAGAAGTATCAAGCAAGTGGCGTCTTTTACATGATCTAATTTAATATAATCACATTTTATTTTAGATTAAAATATACTTTTAACCTTTAACTTTACATTAAATTTTATTTTAATCCTTTAATTTTAAAATATATTTTTAATCTTTTAACTCTTACACTATTAGTTTCATTATAAAAAAAATTATATTAAACTTTAAATGTTGATAAAATATTATTAAAATATTGACTTATTAAGTTTAATTTTTTTTACAATAACAATGATAAACACAAAAAATATTATAAAATTAATGGTGTTAGGATTTAAGGATTAAAAATATATTTTATAAAATTAAGGGATCAAAATAAAATTTTATATAAAATTAAAAAATTAAAAATATATTTTAACTTTTATTTTATTATTTAAACATTTTATTTGTCACATTCGTTACATCCTGTCGCGTGGTCTCTTTTTTTTAATATAAAGTCATGATAAAAATTATGTAAAGAAACCAACATTAGGTGGAGTTTAAAGTCATGAAACTTTTATAATTAATAGACAATCTATTAAATAAAATAATGTTAAAATATTATCTGAAAGTCTTATGGGTTAGAAGATTGATATATTTATTAATTTGTTTTTTTTTTTAAACATGATCTGCAAGAGGGGGTTACAATCAATGAAACATTAACTCGCGTGGTCTTTGAAACGTATGCCCATTTTTAGATTTCGCGTAGCTGCTGCTGCATGCCGTCCCCGACTGATTATTTACCAGAAATTAATAAATAACAGATAAGATCCAATGGAATACTGGAATCTTCCCTCCCTCGTGGCTCCAATCGTCGTGGGTATCGCTTCGCAAGTAGAAGGCGTCCACGTGCCATTGCTCTTTCCGTTTCCCTTCATATCAAGACTCCGATCCAGCTTTCACCGTCTCTGCTTGATTGCTCTGCCAAAGGAAAGCGATCGATGGGCAAGATGAAGAACTTGTTAGCTATGAGCACTGATTCCCAAGACGAAGCCCTTCAACTGATCAACTCCGATTTCCAGGATCTGAGTCGCGCCGCAAGAAACCTCGCCCACCATGCCATCAAACTTGGTGGCCTCGGCTTCGGCACCTCTTTCCTTCAGTGGGTCGCTTCCATCTCCGCCATGTACGAACCTTCTCACTCTTTTTACTCCTAATCTGTTGTCTTCTGTTTCTCATACACTACACTCAAGTTTTCTTCTTGTGATCTTGCAATTAGTTCCAAGTGGGTTTTTCTTTGCTTCAGTCAAAATTTGTTGAATCATGACTGGTCTTTATACTTTTAGATTACAGTTTCTGCGCCCATTTGCTTCTAAGATGCATAATGAGGTTTTCCGGTAGCGTCAACCTGACAGTTCGTCAGTTCAACATCTTTTTGCTAGCCAAAACTGCTAGGTTTTTGATATTGGGTTTTGTATTGGATGTCTTCAAGACTTCAAAAATTCAGATTGACAGGGGCAGTGACATCAAATAAGCAACTAAAATTGCGTGTCAAATTTGAGTATCTGGAGTGTATTAGACACCTTTTAAAATTACTATGCTTGATATACAGCGCACTTTTGATATTTTTGGATTAGAGTTGTCTTTATGTCTCTGTATTGATGCATAGAACTTTAGACTTCTGCCCCGTCCTTGAATTGAATACGATGATCAACTATAAGTCCATGCTGCTGAGATGGCAAATGGTAGACACAATTATGCAAAAGACTAGATGATTATGATTTAGAAATTAATTTAATTTACAGTGTAAATCTTCATTTTTTTCCTGTAGCTGTTGTTTTTCTTTCCTACATCCCTGATGTGATTTAACGGTTGTCGCATCCTGGTTTCTTTCTGTAACTGTTTCCTCAGCTAAGAACTCCCCTTTGTCTTATAAATTTTGTTTTCAATTTGTCTGCTGTAGCTACTTGTTGATTCTGGATCGTACAAACTGGAAGACAAACATTCTTACATCGCTATTGATCCCATACATTTTCTTTAGTCTTCCTTCGTTAATTTTTGGCTTCTTCAGGTGATTAGCCCATCACAGTTCAATGTTGCTAAACTTTTCTATCAAAGCTCTTTTGTTCCCCTCCTTATCAAGCTACTTATTTGCATGTTTATGCAGGGGAGAGTTTGGGAAATGGGTAGCTTTTATTGCTGTTGTGTTACGGCTTTTCTTTCCAAGGCATTTCCCTGGTATAGTATGATTTCAGCTCATATTAATCATTGCGCTTTATGTCTACATTGGATCATGTTATGATACTCAGTTTACATACTTTGGAAACTGTTTATTTTGCGCCTTTGATTGGGTAGACAACTATCTTCTGCTGCTATGACGTTTTCTGATGAATGTTTTTTTAACTGACCCATATCATATGCAAGTTATATCTTTGCCTGTGCATGGGAGAACTCTTAATGAGGCTTGGCTAATTATAAATAGATACTTTCCCGGACCACAATACAAGTTATGGTTAACTAATTTACATTTTTTTTTTAAAAAAGGTTAAAATCTTAACTTTCTAAAAATTTTCACATCTTTATAATCATACTCTTGAATAAGTATAATATTTGATTTATTCAAAACATTTTCATTAATTACTCGAGTGAAATATAATAAAATAAGGGTATAATTGAAAAAAATATGTAAAACCTACCCAATCCCTATATTTTGGACCAAGCAGGGTTTGTCATTGTGAACACTTTTGAGTAAACCAAATTTAACATGTTTATATTAAAAAATTATTATCAACTTCCTTATCCTTTTATAGATATGTATACTTTATTCTATTCATGTTTTTATTAGACTAACGGCTTGCTCAACATATTCTAGACACCCTTATTAATTACTTGAGTGAAATATAATAAAGTAAGAGTATAATTGAAAAAAATATATAAAAGCTATTCATTCCGTATGTTTTGGATCAAGCGGGGTTTCTACAAAACGCCCTATATTATGGTCTGTGGTAATTTCCAGGAACACTTCTGAGCAGGAACCAACTTTTAACATGTTTATATTGAAAAATTATAGTCAACTTCCTTTTTTTTTTTAATAGATATGTATACTTTATTTTATTCATGTTTTTATTAGACTACAGCTGGTTCATAATGAGGTCATTCCTTTCTTTACAATGTTATTATTTCCTCATAATAATACCCCAACATATTTTATGTTAAGAGGAAAAATTAGAGATACAAGAATCATTCTCTATCTTCATTCTTCAAGGTTACTTTTTTCATTGTATTTTGCATCCCATTTTATTGACCGAGAGAGAGAGAGCTTGTAAGAAATCGTTACTGGTACTGCAGATTGGTTGGAATTGCCTGCTGCTTTGATTCTGCTTATAGTTGTGGCTCCAAGTCTATTCGCCAGCACCTTGAGAAGCATGTGGATTGGCGTGGCAATATGCCTTCTCATTGCATGTTACTTACTGCAAGAACACATTCGAGCTTCTGGTGGTTTCAGGAATTCTTTCACAAAAGCTCATGGCATATCAAATACAATCGGCATAATCATCCTGTTGGTCTATCCTGTTTGGGCATTGGTACTCGACTTTGCATAAATGCAACCTTGAACAGTTCTTGGGGTTTGGCTGTTGTCTTTGTATTGAAATGATTATTGTTCCTCTGTGGATCATTCATTTGTTTGAAGATGAGACTTGTTTATCCCAAGAGTTTGCATGTGTAAAAATGTGAAATCAGTTGTTATTCATAGACTTTTGGCATCATTGAATGTAAAAATATGGCGGAGGAGGGTTGTATTGTCCTCTCAGCTTCTAGTGTTGATGGAAATAAATCATATATTATCTGTTAAAATGCCATGGAAGGTAAGTGGAGTATAGTATAGTGTGCCTTCTCCAATCCTTTGTATTTTCTTTTATATTTTCTCAAGTTTAACGATTTCCATTTGGCATTAACAATCTTCTTTCCAAGCCAACAAACCAAAGTCAACTACTATGCTTCAGGACTTCACTACAAATGAGTTCGATGAATTTGCTAAAATATTATGAAGACTTAGGGACCTGAATGTAATCTTTGACACAGACAAATACCAAAATGCCTCTTGAACAAAGTTTGAACAACCCCTTTGATTAGCCACCGTCAACCTGCCACTTACTGGTGTTCGGCCAATCTCTATTAGGATTATAATATTTTATTAAAATATTAATATTTTAATATTTTATAATTTTAATATCATTATTATTTAGAGGTTAAAAAACATAATTATTTACCACTTAATTTTTTAGATTTACAAGTTAAAATTTTAAATTTACAACGGAATCTATATGATTTTTATATTAATTATTCAAATTATATAGATAGATTTACAAGTTAATCTCTTATATAGTTACATTTTACAAGTCCTCCCCTAAAATTTAAGCCAACAACAATGACCAAGAAGAATTATCTTACTAGGTGAGGGCTATATGACAACATTGTGTTGTCTAAAAATTTAAATCAAGTTTCAAAATTTAAAACTTACTTAAGTTCCAAGAATGCTTAGATCCACTTATAAATTAAAGAGATTGATTTGTAATAAATATTACTAATATTAGTATATATTTTAATAACAATATTATCTTTGGCTAGATGCTAATCAACAGTGGATCGAAGGGGAGAGTAAACGGTACCTACATCATTTCAAAGGACTTGATCGTAGATTATCAAATTTACAAATAAATATGTAATGTTTTTTTTTTGGTTCAAACTTATAAGTAGATTATCTGAGAACTACCTGTAATTTTCCCAAAGATAAATCTATCGTGCCTGTACTGATGGCTCAAAATTATGGTTATTCAAATTTTATCTGAATGGTTCAAATTTTATTACAGAATATTGACAAGATTGAGAATTCATAGGTGCTGTAAAAATACAAGAATGTATGTTTTTCAAATTTTCGGTGAATATATCAAATAAGAACCAAAGTGGACAAGCAACCAAATCTATTATCAAGAAACCACCATAAATCTTCATACTGTAACATATCACTCCAGCTTCATACCTTCTTTTCCTTTACTTCATTGTATAGTTTATCGATATGGCTCTGCAAATTTAAAAAAAAAAGGTCAAGATTTGGATAAAAATTTAGAAGAATGTCAGTAAAGTTTTAAATAAAGAGAAAATTAATGACAATTACATTCCCAATAAAATTTTTTGAAAAATAAAGTATAAATATTGATTCAAATAGTTGTAAATAAGAATGTCAATTATAAAATGAAAGTTAAATTTAAAATTTAAGTGTCTTATTTGCAATTGAAACTCTTAAATTTACAATTATTTAAATTGATATTTGCAACTTATCTTTTAGAAAATTTTATTAGGAACTTAATTGTCATTGTCTCCTTCTACTAAGGCTTAACTGTCATTCTCCCTAAAATTTTTTGCTTCATGTATATATACCTCAAATCTTAGACTAGTATGAGAATCATTTGACACAAAATGATATCTCTTCTGAGAAACCTTTCTTCTTTAGTGAAGAAAGATGCAATATGAAGCGTATCAGAAAATCAGAGTTGTTGCAGAGAATTGATCAAAGGAAATAAAGCAAACCTTGTAGTACTTGAGCAGTTGTGGTCTCTTTAACTTAAATGTGGGAGTTACTAGATCTCTCTCCATGTCAAACGGGATTGGTTCCAGATGAATCGCTTTTAGCATCTCAAAGCCTCGAAGCTACAACAAAAGTTGTCATTCATGTCAAAATGACACTGCCAGGCAATACAACTTTGCAACCGGTAAGCAAACAATTTGTTCCCTGAATTCTAAAGACTTGCTTAATTTTAGGAATACCACAAGTTTCAGATTAATCATAGGAAACAATAAATTTATTGCCTATTGGTTCAATGATATGCTAAAATTACTTGACAAAAGGACTAGCGGATGCACAAGAAGTTTGTTACTATAAAAAATTAACTGCTGTCCCCCCACTAATTTTCAATTATTTGCTAGATGAGCCCAATAATTTATAAGCTAAACTGTTAGTGCAGTTGCGTAGCTAGTAATAGGTCACATGCAAATTTGGATGAGAACTTATGCTAGACATTAAAACTTAGGAAAAAAACAGAGACACACCAATAAAAGCAACATGCAGCTTAATGCAAAATGATACTGATTCATGGTTATGCATAGAGCGATATTCTATGTAAATATAATGCACGTCCACACACACAAAGCACAAAATTGGGAATTTGATGTGCATACTTGGAGTTTCTGACCAGTTGTATTGAGCTCGTCCAAAATGAACTTTCTTGCCTTCGGATTTTTACATAAAGATTTAAAATCACCACTCTCATTATGCTTCTCTGCCCAGTCCTCAAGTGCCTTTTTTTCTGGGATCACCACAGCCACCAGAAATGACTCAAAACTGTTTCCATATACCCAAATCTGTATGAAATAATCAAAGCATTTTCAGTTGCATTCATTACATAAATTCAGTAACCGGTGTATTCTGCAGGAATGGAATCTAATTGATGTTTCTGTAAATTCACATGCTGCTTTGTGACTGACGAAGAAACATACCGATGCTATTAGAGGGCACTGCGAATACTTGTTTTCAATATTCTCAACCGCAATATATTCCCCTTGAGACAACTTAAAAATATTCTTTTTCCTATCAATAATTTTCAGGGCTCCATCTGGCCGCCATTCTCCAATGTCACCTGAAAGGGATTTAAAATCATTCCCATACTGATTGCATATAGAGACAAAGAAGTAACTTCCACAATATGCATGCAATTTGTAAAGAAAAACAAGAATGGAGAAATTTGCAAGTTCATGACAGAATTTCAGACTTGACTCTTGATTAGGATTCAAAATGAAGTTAGCAGCTTCGAATTTAGAACCAATCCTTTTACTTTTCAAGCATTAACGAATACAGTGCTCTGGGTTTCAACAAATGGAGCTTTGACCACAACAAACTTGTTAAACTGAATCCTCTATCCTCATGCATTATATATTTAGAGGGAGAATGACACCAAGGAGCGAGACACAGTGTATGATGTGCACTGTGCAGTTCCTTTTTTATCTCATTTCTCTCTGTTTCTTCCCAACTACAGCATATACAATTATTTTTCTGAAGACGAAAGATCGAGATTGCAAACTTCCAGAGCAACTCTGTTAAATGCAATTTCTTAGGAAACTTTTCAGGAATGTCTGATTGTCAAGGTAAAATTGAAGTAGAAAAAAAAATTAAATGTTTAAATTTAAACGAAGAGCCTTGTATGAATCCTGGAAAAGGGAAAAGAAATCTTCATTTGACTTTGTTGATACAGTTTCAATCACAATTTCCAGGGAGCCTTACCTGTATGAAACCACCCATCAACCATCACCTCTTTAGCAAGATCTTCACGCTTGTGGTAACCAGAAAACAAGGTGCTGCCTCTAAGGCAAATTTCTCCACGTGGCTGACTGGAAACTGCATCATATCCCATCTCTGGAACAGATTCAAGTCTGGCTTCAATGGTTGTCATGGGAACCCCAACTGTTCCCATCATTGAAAACACATCACCAATTGCTGTGAAACACCCACCACAACTTTCAGTAAGACCTGTCATGCCACAATGATAATAAATTAGAGAAACGTAGTCATACAGACGCATAACATGCACCTATAGTAGTTCAATCAAGCTTGTCTCCGCTACAATAGACTCAGAGAGAAAAAGGAACTACTGGAACCATTTCTCACAAGAAATGACAGCATTTAAAATGTAATCTTGCTTTGATGAACTTCAACCAAACTTCCTTGCTGGAAAAGTCATGATTATTTTCTTTCTTGGCCTGAGAAGAGCCATGATGTTAAGCAGAAGATTTTGTGTACAATACCATATCCTTGTGATAATGTAGATCCAATGGTGACCCTAAGAAACTCCTCCACATGCTTTGGCAAGGGGGCAGCTCCTGATAACAAGATGCGAACTCGTCCACCCAATGCTTGTTTTATCTATTTAATAAAACTGATGATTAGAATTTGAACTAGATATATAGAATTTGCAAGGATAGAGATGGAAGACCTTGTCAAACACAAGCTTATCAAGCAGAGGTGCTGCTTTGTCTTGTGGAAGTCCCTTCTCCAGATAGTTCAACTTGCTGTCAGTTGATCCCAGATTAATTCACACTAGGATAGAATAGAGAACTAAAACAATCGAAGTAAAGGGGCAGAACATACTAGTTATATGCATGCTGAAACAACATATTCTTCAGTGCCCCTCCAGAAGAAATTTGGCTTATGATACCTTCCAGCGCAAAGGTTAAAGTCAATGCTTGTTGATATGAGGGGCTTAAAGAGAATGCTTAGACAAATATTTTAGACAAGGCGGTTTACCCAACTATAGAAAAGATTAAAGAATAGAGTCTTCATTTCTTACCCGCATAAATACGGTCATAAACTCTAGGAACACCACAAAATATGGTTGGCCTAAGTGTCTGAATATCTTCCATCATGAACCTGACGTCCTGTATGAACGAAGATGAAAATTTCCATATGAAGCACAAAACAGAGCAACAATGAAAGAATGATCAAATAATTAATTGCAAAAATTGAATTCAGATCTTACGCCTTGCCAAAACCCTATTGAGGAGCCCTTGTAGATGCAGTAGCTCTCCATTATCTGGTCGTATACATGTGCTAGAGGAAGAAAAGAGAAGTATACATCGTCTACTGTTGCCTACAGTTGCACATATTTTTGGCCAACAATTTAGCATTACATAAAGCTGACAAATTTAAGCGCAACCTCATCTTCTTTACTCATCAGCCTCTATAAATATTCAATTCATAAGAGAAATGAGCATGAAGATCATAATCATCTATTGTAACTCTAACAAATTTATTTATACAAAAACATATAAACAGAACAAGTAGGACAGGCATGGCATGAAACTCATGAACATAAAAGGAAAATGCTCATCTTACCACTCTGTCTGTTAATAAAAGTATTTGGTCAATAGACAACACTTCAGCCATAAAAGCCTCGTTCTTAATAATGACACCTTTGGGTTCACCTGTCGTTCCACTTGTGTACATTATTGTGCAGACGTCTGTCTTATTTTTTGAAGGTAGATCACCCACCAAACTTCCCTAAGTAAAATAGAAGATTAAAATATAACTTAAATAATCAGAGAAATAGGTTTAACATCTTAAAGGCAAATTAAAAATAGGTTTAACATCTTACCAGCTGGAGGAACTCTCCCCAGGAGAAGCAGGCTGAACCATGTTTCTCAGCTTCCTTCTTTTGTTCGGTTGAAACATTTCCAAAACTCACAATGGCTACACCATGAATTTACAGAGCTTGGTTACCGTAGAACAAAGAAAAACCCTAAAGTAATTATGTTAGATAAAATATGAATGGCTAACGGCTAACCTACATTTTAGATTTGAAGAACACTGTTCAAGACATGACAAAATCTGTAAAAACAATCATCGCTTCAGTGACCATAAAAAAGAAATAAATAATTAAAACAAAAAAAAATCCCATTCTGTATCGGAGAGTAAACTAATCGTCTTGAAAGAATTAATTGTCAATTATTCTATTGAAATAGGATCAGCATTCAGCAATGGTTGTAACAATTTGCCGGCTTCAAAATTGATACCTCGCTATTCATTTGGCAAGTGACTCAAAGAAATCTCATCAACAAATTAAAGGCTGCTAATGGCATAGTAATGTTTCATATTCCATCACATAGTTATTCTATAGTTTCTTAGGAGTCAAGATACACTTGATAGGGCATGTAAGAAGTTAAATCTCGAATGTATGACTTAATGATCCGAAGCTCCAAGCCCAATCGTCACTGAATGCGAAAGCATTCAGGTTCTTGTTCTAGTTAAACCCACATTGATTCAGTTATATTGACTAAATAAAATATTCATTACAAAATAGTAAACAACAAAGATGCGTGCAAAAAGATAAATAAATAACAAAGATAAAGATCCCATAGTAGAAAAGGTAGTGAATGACGACCTAGAACTTACAGAAGGGATCTTGTTTTCCTGTACAAATGCAATTGAAACTTCTGCGTGGTTTATGATATACTCCACAGCATTGGGACCTGTTAGGTTTAAAACCAGGTCATTTTCTAGTCAAATGTAAGAGAAACTCAACTGACCACACTGCTTTAGCCTTTAGTTTAAGAGCTCTTCAAAAAGAACATGCCTCAAATTATAAAATAAAGAGAAAAATAATCTTTGTTTTCTTTAATTTCATTGAGTTTTGTTTTTAATCCCTTTAATTTTTTTTTCAATGTTTTCAATCCCTATATAGACTAAAACCTCTAAAAAAAATAAAAATTATGAGGATTTGCAAAACAAAAGTCACCCAATCTTTCTAAAACTGTAGGGACCAAAAATACTGAAAAAAAATTACAGGGGCTAGAAACAAATCTAATAAAATTATAAAGATCAAAGATTGTGTTTTCCTTAAAATAAACTCCTGTAGATTTATTGGAAAAGCAACAAATGACAAAACACATACCAAGGGTATCATATAGTGGGACGTAAGTTACTGCACAGCTATTACAAGCCTGCAAACCAACAAAGTTAAACTAAGTCCTATATTGATATCCAATAACGACAACTATGTCATGTCTTTCTTCATTGTTATGTGAAAAATGACATAAACAAACTGATATACCTCCATGGAAATTATCCATTCGGGGCAGTTTGATCCATAAATGCCACAACGATCTCCCTGGTGATGCGAATCCATTTTTTTTTAATGATTAGTTTTTATATTTAAAGATTCTTAATACAAATTATCTTGATATAGCCCTGTAGACTTACAGCATTGACACCGCGGTTCCTCATGGCGGAGCCCATTCTGATGGCACAATCATAAGCCTCCTGATATGTGACCCATTCATAGGGACCCGCCTGCAAATAAAGTAAAACATATGGTGTATGATTTACTTCTCCTTTAGAAATGAGAAGGGCAAAAAAGGAAAAAGATTGATAATGATATCGACTCATCAACCTGATAAAAAATAGGGTATGATGCTTGCAAACATTCATATACATACATACAGACCCAGTACCAAAGAAAAAGAAAGATTCGTATAAATTTACACCTTCGAATTGGTTTTCTGACGTCTGCCCAGAAGGGGGTTGCTCGGGTTCCTCTTAGCAGAGTCCCTGAAGAGGAATCAAGACTGTTCAGAAGGGAGAGATTCATAAACCAATAAAAGTATTCAAATTTCAATGTACTCACAAAAAGTATCTATAAAATTCAGTTTAAATTACAAGTGGCCCACAAGACAACCCATAGGATAAACTCTTGAATGATTTGGCATGGACATTTTAATACTAAATCAAAATCATTTTATCTCAAAAGTTTAATTTACAACGGAAGGTTCACGAGGGAGTTTATTATGATCTCTAACCCTTCTGTTTTTAATTGTGAATCTTCTAAAAGTTTAATTACCACTGCTTTGACCGTAATTCAGAGGATTGACAGGACTGGGATTACCAGCAGGATATATCATTTCCATACTCAAAAAATTATCTTTCAGATAAACCTTGGAAATGCAGAGTAAAATAAAAATTCTGCTTTTTTAAAGATCCTGCAGTAAAAATTAGCTGGTTCTTCAAATTCTATAGTCATCTAGCCAAGTTCTAGAAATGGCTAACAAGTCTCAGGATACATTAAAAATTTTGAGTCCATGCATGGTTTAATTTAAAGAATAAACCAAACAATTTGTAGTCCATGCATGATATTTATTAGTTTTCTAAATCTGACTCGTTCAGTTGTACATTTTACTGAGCTAACAGTATCAAATCATCAGGGGAGTGAAGAAGAGATTTAAAAGAAAACAGAATCACCTGAAGAACTGCCATGGAGAATGGAAGTCGGCCGGAAGCTCCATTAAACCATCTTTAGCATAAATGCACCTATACACAGGACCCGCCGATGGCTGTTCAGCGGTGGCCGGAGTTGCCTCTGCCACCTTCACGGTGTAAACTTCCGGCATTGTGAAATCGGAATGTGCAGAAATGGATTTCAGAATCGTACAGGCCAGGGGAAGCTTACTAGCACGAATCACACTCCGGTTTTTAATAGCTAAGAAAAATCTGGGAATAATAAAGGGAAAGGGTGGCTGAAGAAGAGGAGAGAGAGGTAGGAGAGTTGGTTGAGCCGAAGCAATAAATTCAAAGGATTAATATTAGCACTAGTAATAGTCTATTTCTATTACTTGTGAGAGAGAACAAAGGAAGCTGAATGCTGTTGTATGGGCTTTTTTGTTATGAGGCACGCATATATAGAATGTGGTGTCTTCTTGGGAACTTCGAGTAATTCACCTCCATTTGCATTTATATTTGGCTGTCAAAGTTTGGTGAAGCTCTCATATTTGATGCCACTGTCCAAAGACAAAATCAGAAATGAAATGGAAAGAAAGGAAAATAAAACCAACTTCGCTGATATGAAAGTTTCTAATTGGTTTGATAAAACAAGAAGAGGAAGACAAAAACCATTAGACGTAATTGGTAGCTTTTCTCACCCTTCTCTTCTTCTATATTTGTGATTCTTTGCTAGAAATGAAAATTGTTTGATCGTTGCCTATCTTCCAATAAACGTAACCTACACCGGGATGCTGCATCAAGGATCTAAATTTACGTGCATTGAATTATGAGTACCATCACTTGCTTTTTTTAATTTACCTAAATCAACATAACTACTTTTATTTCTTCCGTACAATTATAACTCAAGGGCAAAGAGGAGAAGAAAAGCAATCTCTCACTTGCATAAAAAATTATATACTATTTATACTACCTATAAAAGGATATTTTTGTCTAAAATTTTAAACAAGACAATAAACACAAGATAAGAGGTTACAGGTGTTACAAGTTATTGCTTATTATGGCCATTATATGGGAGTTACAAGCTCTTTATTATGGCTATTATTATCTAAGCAATGGCTTTGTAACTCTTTTTAAAAAATAAAATAAAATAAAATAAACGGCTTTGTAACTCTTTTAATCGTAGAAGGAATCAATTTAGATGTTATTATTCCGTTTCACCATTCCCGGCTGAGACGTTTCTCGCTCTGGACTCAAATCCAGCATCGTTATTGAAGTTCACGGACATGCGGACAACTATGAATTGCACAGACTCCATAAGCACCCAGAAATTGCTGTTTTTTTTTTTTTTTTTTATGGGCTAACGAGCAGTTGATTAGACACTTTAAGTTAACAAATCGGCTCTAACTTATATCAAGCATGTGGACACGACACGTGGCTTGTCTGGCAGTGGCAATAATTTCCAATTCGAAGGTTTTGAACCCTTTTGATATTTGTTTAATTTCAAACTAACCAAAAGGGAAATTTAAATATTGGAAGGCCTAATTAGTTAAGTCTATCAGCCTAATTTGTTTTTCCCAATTTACAAAATTTGGAACCTTAAAGTTGGTGAAAGGAAATCAAGTTTGTTCGGCTATATCCAGCTACCATGCAACCACGGTTAAAGAAACACTGAAGTCTAAAACTGGTAGGGTTAGAAATATGTTAATGTTTCAGTGAAAAGGAATCAAGAAGAAAATGTATAAATGTAAAGGTGAATCAGTTTATGGCGAACAAATTGTGAGGGATGCATAGCTGGTAACAAGCAGGTGGAGGATAATATTCTCAGCAAGCAAGCACAGAGGAAAACAAGAAAAGCAGGCGCATTTATGATCAACCGAGTGGATGATATTGATAGTCACACATGAGTGAGCCCACTTGGCTTGCCTCACCAATAATCAGCCCTTGCTTGCTCCATCAAAGCTTTTACTGAAGTCATATCAAGTCCACATTTCTGCGTGAGACTCATGGAGTCTAATTTTGTGTTCAGTTTTCTTTTCTAGATTAATTAATACAAGCAGCAAATGCCGGCTGGTCTATACTCCTTGGTTCTAAATTATAAGCATTTTTAATTATATTATATCCTCAATAAATCAGTTATTTATCTTAAAATTAATACTCCCTCCTTTTCAAATTATATGACATTTTTAAAGAAGTTTTTTCTTCTCAAAATATAAAATACTTTGAATAGATTAAGGTTTCATTAGATGTACCAATTTTAATATTACCCTTTCTCCCTCTATAATTAATTTTCATTCCTTCTCTTTTTAATATATACTCCCTCTGTCTCAAATTATAAGACTCTTTTAGACAAAATCTCACATACCAATAAAATTCATTAAATACACTTTACAACCTTATTTTTTCAAGATAAAAATATAAACTTTTAAAAATGTCCTTCATTTAATACTTCATTGATAAAAGAATATTGAAGAAAAAAATATATGATAAAGATAATATTAAAAAAGAATAATTAATGAAACCTTATTTTTGTCAAAGTATCTTATATTTTGGGATGCTGAATCTTTCCTAAAAGTGTCTTATAATTTGAAACGGAGGAAATATTAAATGATGGATATTTTTAAAAGTTTATATTTTTATTTTGAAAAGATAAAGTTATTAAGTGTGTTTAATAAGATTTATTGTTATATAAGATTTTGTCTAAAAATACCTTATAATTTGAGATGGAAGGAGTATAATTTTTTTATATTTATCTTTATTTAATATGGTGTTTTACTTAAAAATAAAGGATTGAGTGATTTATTTATAAAAAATATTTTTAAAAAAATTATTATTAATTACACGTTGAAAACTAAAATATCTTATATTTTTAAATATATAAAACTTTTGAAAAAATATTTTGTATTTTTAAATGAAGAAGGTCAAAATTCTCTGTCAGGTAATACTAATTGTTTTTCTTAAATCTTTAAAAATTTTGGAAAAGGTAATAAGGGAGAAATGAATGGAGAAGAATAAAGTCAATGGTGGGTGCATGATACAGAAGAAAAGAGTGAGCGTCTTTTTTTTTTTTTTATGGATAGGATTGGCAAGACTCTTGTGTATGTTTTCGTGAATGGCTTGAGTTATCACCCGATTAATAGAGTTCATCAACGAAACTTCTTGATATAGGTAGGAAATTGGTGTCACAAAACTTCCCAACTGTTTTTCTCTATTCAACAGGATTAAATGTTGGTGAAATATCTCGTGTTTCTCGTTCAAATAATATATGTGAATAAACATCAAACATCCTCATCAAATATATATAACTATATATCATTTTCAAATTTCTTAAAGTTGATCAATTATCCTACTTTATTTACAAGATATCAACGTTATTCTTTTTTTTTTTTTAACATGGCATGGAAATATTAGCAGTAAAAGACGATCACATGTTGCAATCCAAAAAGCTCACCAAAAACCATATGCCTTCGAACCAGTATGTATACCGAATTGCTTGGAGCTGCCAAACACAACATGACAACAATTAACCTTAAACATGCGATTCCTCCAATTTCGCACTGCACCTCTTAACTATTATTTTGATTATTATAAAATTAACTTTACTTCGAAAAGGCAACAAATTCTTCAAAGATAAAAGGACAGGCATTACCAATTTACCATCAATCACAACAAATTAGCATTACAAGACCGTGGCAGTCTATTTTAGAATATCATTTATTGTACTGAATGAACAAAACATTTTGCTTTTGGTGACTGGTGAGTCATAAGCATGCTCTGCTAATAATATAGATTTTTTTTTTAAAGTACCGAGAGCAAACAATAAATTTCTCCTTACTAGATTACTATATATATAAGAGTTCAAATTTAAATATCAACTATTTATTTAAATGATGAGAGTCTCTATCATTCAAATAAACCTATCTTGATTATGTTTTTAGGATTTATTATATGTAAAGAAGGGATTTGATTCTTGTATAAAAAAAAAAACAGACATTTATTAATCCACTCCCTCTATTAAAAAATGTAAAAAAAAATTTGAGGAGTTACATATTGAAAAACATAAAACAATTTTAGTGTTTTCAGTTATAATTATTGCAATTTTTTTAAAAGTACCTTTAATGATCACTTTATATTTATTTTAAAATAAAACATCCTATTAAATAGTAATAAATATGAAAAGAAAATGTTAATTTGAAGATAAGTAATTATTTTATTGAAAATAAAATTTAGTTAAAAATATTTTATATTTTTTAACAAAGAGAGTAGATAAACATTTCTTCTTAACTCCTCTTGATAATTGAAATTAGAGATAAAAGAAAAAAATAATATATACTTTTTTTTTTTGAAAATGAGGACTTCATTAGTATGTATATTTTTCCTAAAAATATTTATATTTTGGACTAGATGAAGTACTCTTTTCATGTTTATTTATAAGCCAAACTATCACTTGTGATTTGTATTTTTTTATAAGTAAAATCACATACCTCAATAAACATTTGTTACATATGTTTTAAATTATTCCTTATAATTTACATTAATAAAAAATAATTAATATATATTTATATTGATTAATACAAGATATTTTAATTTAATTTTTTAAATTTTAAATATAATTATTATAGTTAATTAAATTAAAAAATTTGTGATACAGTTTTTATTTTTTATATATAAAAATGAAAGGGATATGTATGAGGGCCTTTCACATTGATTGGTTTAAACCTTATCGGATTAAATTAAATCGAGAATGATTTTTTTTTTATAATAAATCGAGCATGATTTTTTTAAAAAGGAAGAAGAAGAAGAAAGAAAGAAAAGAGGCCGGGGGCATTTATGGTCATAAAAATATACATCTAACATATCCGGCGGCCTTAAATGTTGCCACCTACGTTCACCGCGCATGTGCATCCTGCTCCCTCCAGAATTTATTCTGCCCCACTTAATTCTCTCTCTCTTTTGCCGCATCTTGATAATATAGGTGACGTGTCGTATGTCGATCCACATGGCTACCACGTTGGTGCCACCTGGTCTGTTTCAAATAAATGCGCTATATTTGGAAAGAGTTTCATTTTCCTGTATTTTTTTATACACCATTTAAATTATTTGTTGAATAACTTTTTTCAATGATAAAATTAACGAACGGTGAGGATGGAAAAAATGAAGTAAAATTGAGGTAAAAAAATTGGAGAGACTTCTCTCGCTCATCGTTCTGAGTAAAGGTAGCAAGCAGGTGATTAAGAATGTAGTATCAGTATAGCATCAGTATATATGAAGGATAGAGTCACTATTATTACTGAATTTTATTTTTTGCGTTATCTTTCTTTTTTTTTTAAATTCCGGTTAATAATTAGTCTCCTCGATACTCTTGCCCGATGGGCTCATAACTTGGAATCAGTGTCTTGCATCTATGACACAAGCCGTCTTTTATATCAAGAGATGGAGGTTGATGATAGATTGTTTTTGTTTTTGTCCTTTTCCTTTCTGTTTTGTAATATTCTGTACTCTTATTTGTTTTCAGTTGTTAATGATACTCTCAGTCTATTGTCCAAAAAAAGAAAATCATTGTGCTATCTCATGCACCTTGGCTGGACTCCCATGAGCAATTTATTATTTTTTTCCGGTTTAATAAGGGCCAATAATGAGATTCTAAATTCCTGGTCTTCTTTTTTAAAGAAATGGAGGCCTTATGTCAATTTGGGCCGCAACACAAAGGGGTGCCCATTTGCCATCATGATCCATTAAAGGAATGAATTTTTTTAAATTAATATCAATTATTGTTGCTTCTTGGAACTAGAGCATTTAGGCACGTGGCATCCGCCCTTCAGAGAAAACGCCTAAAAGTAGGGCTATTTAAAAAAACTCAAACCCGATCTGTTTGGTTTGACCTGGTCTGACCCAACCCTAAAAAAATCAACTCGAATAAAAGATTGGACTAAACGGGTCAGACTATATATATGGGTCAGACCAGACTAGAGACTACTCTTTTGGACCAATTAGTTTGACCCGGTCCAGGTTAATTTTTTAATATTAAATATTAAATAATTATATTATTTATTTACACAAAAAATTCTTACACTGACTGACTCTATGACTCACTGAGCTTCACGTCACGTCTCATGCTCAGTTACAGTTCCTCACGCTAGCCTCAGATTCAGTCTATGAAGTCTAAATAAAGACAACCCACTATTAATAAAAAATTCTCATTGGCAGTAAAATTCAAACATATGAATCACGAGGCCATGATGTTCATTGTTCAGTTCAGAGTCTAAGGTCTTAGTCAAAAATTGGCTGTTGCATAGGCCGTATTGGAAACTTGTCCTTCCCCACATAATCCTTTAGTCCTTCCCCACTCTGTCTGAGGCTTTGAGCTCAATAGTCACTAGTCAGTACCCTCATTTTTCATTTCTCCCGTAGCTCTCTGAAGTTTCACTCATCTCTCTGCCTCTTCTTAGTTAGCCGTCGCCTGTTGCCCACTCGCCCTGTTTCTCCTCAAGCATGTCGATGAAGAAGAACATCACGATCGCTTGACTACTTCACTCAGCCTTTCGATTCATTGTGCATTTTCCTCCTCCTTCTCCAGTGACAGCGTCGACAACTGAAAGGTATTCATATTTTGTGGTTTTTCTTCTAGTTTTGCTTGCTCAGTTTTTAGTTTTTCTTCACTCAGCCTTCTGATTCATCGTGCATTCTGGTTTTGCTTGCTTGGTTTTTGGTTTTTCTTATTTTGTTTCTGACTTCTCCGATGATTTCTGTTCCATTTTTGCATGCTTATGTTCTATTACTTCTCTCTTTCTGGTTTTGTTTGCTTTTCGTTGAGGTTGCTGTGGTAAGGGATGTATTACTGTTGCCATTTTCAAAAGTTCACATTTCCACCTTTCGAAGAGAGACGCTTCCATTGTTGCTGTAGACTGATGACTGATCTTTTGTTGCTAACTTGCTATAGATGGCTTTGGTTTTAGAGGATCATTCCTCATTTTTGGTTGATATAATGTGATATTTATTATATTTTCGGTGAGGTTGCTATTCTGATATTTGAACCTTATATCAGTATTTTGAGGATAAATTTTTGTAACAATTAGATTACCTATGCTTGTAATATTAATTGTCGGATTTGATTTACTGGTAATCATGACAAAGAAGTGGCTCTGTATATGTCATACTTCTTTGAGAAAAGTCTGATCTATACTTGTGTTTGTGATTTTATAAGTTAACATTGTGTCTTGTTTTTCATGTTAAAGACATGGTGGACGAAACTTTTGCATCTGCTAGTATTGACCAACCCTTGCCAACACAATTAATTGGTTCTAGTCAAAATAAAATGCCACCTCCTACTGGATCAACTCCATCAACTCCTCCTCTTGTAGCTATTGATCTTGCCTCTAACCTTGTACAAGATTGTGGTTCAGAGAATGTGAGCAGAAAGAGAAAAGAGCTTGAGAAGAAGAGTAAACAATCACAAGTTTGGGAGCATTTTGTGAAGTTGCCTTTGGAAGAAACAAATGGAGAGGTTAGAGCTTCTTGCAAATACTTTTATGCAACTTATGCTTGTGAACTAAACAAGCATGGGACAACATCATTAAAAAGGCACTTTCTAAAATGTCCTAAAAACCCACATAAGGCTACCACAATACCAAAGCAATCAATGTTGAACTACGTGATGCCAAGTGGGCAAGGAGGAGGCTTAGTCTCTCATGTTTTCAACCAAAAACGATGTAGAAGGGCATTGGTTGAATTTGTTATTTGTGATGAGATGCCATTCAGGATAGTTGAGAAGTATGGGTTTAGAAATTTTATGAGAGAGTTGAAACTAAGATTTCAAATCCCTTCATGAACAATAGTTGCTAGAGATTGTTGGCGACTATATCTTGGAAAAATCAAGATATTGAAGCAAGTGTTGAAGAAGTCTGTAAATCGTGTTTGCTTGACAACTGATTGCTGGACATCTACTCAAAATTTCAATTACTTATGCCTTACTTGTCATTCCATTGATCCTGAGTGGAAGTTGCACAAGAGGATATTAAATTTCTGCATGATTGAGAATCATAGGGGTGACACAATTGGAAAGACAATTGAGAAGTGTCTATTAGAATGGGGAATTGAGAAGGTGTTTACCATAACAATGGACAATGCATCATCTAATGACACGGCTTTGTCTTATTTAAAAAGAAGGCTTAGGAATTGTAAGGGCATGGTTTGTGGGGGTGATTACCTTCAATTGAGAAGTTGTGCACATATTCTTAACTTGGTGGTTAATGATGGGTTGAAGGAGTTGAAAAACAGCTTTGATGCAATTCACAATGCAATTAAATATGTTCATTCTTCCCCTGCTCGTCTCCAAAAGTTTAAAAGTGTTGCTGAGTTAGAGAAATTGAACACTACTAGCCTTGTTTACCTTGATGTCAATACTCGATGGAATTCAACTTACTTGATGTTGGAATCCGCTTTGAAGATTCAAAAGGCTTTTGAATGCCTAGAAGATGAAGATGAAGATTATATGGGGCAATTCATTAGAGGCACTAAGCGTGAAGGCCCTCCTAAAGCTAGTGATTGGAACAAGACACGTGTCTTTCTCAACTTTTTGAAGGTATTTTATGACATAACTTTGATGTTTCAAGTTCACTAAATGTTACTTCTAACACTTGTTTCCATCAAATTTCTCTTATTCATGAGTTGTTGGAAGAGAACATTGTGAATGTTGATCCTTTGCTTATGAAAATGTCCCTAAGTATGAGAAGCAAGTATGAAAAATATTGGGGTCAAACAGAGAATATGAATCCTTTGCTCATTGTAGCGGTGATTTTGGATCCTCGGTACAAGCTTGCTTATGTGAATCATATATTTGAGCAACTTTTTCTTGATCTTGAAGTTTGCATGGCCATGAAAATTAAGATCAAATATGTCTTGTACCACATGTTTGATGAGTATTCTAAAGGACTAGGGATTAGTATCCCAAGCAATGCTTCTTCTTCTACACTTCCAGGATCATCAACATGTTCAATGCTTAAAGGCCAAGGGGGTATAGATCCAGGTCGTAGGTAGTTAGCATCTAAAAAAAAAAACCTCATCAGAACCACAATCAAAATTAGATAAATATCTTTCATCTAATTCTACTGATGATACCCCTGTTGATGATGATTTTGATATATTAGCATGGTGGAGAGCCAATTCTAGCAAATACAAGGTTCTTTCTATGATGGCACGTGATGTCTTGGCTATTCCAGTGTCTACAGTGGCCTCTGAATCAACCTTAAGCACAGGAGGACGTGTAGTGGACTCTTATAGGAGTTCATTATCACCAAAGATGACTGAAGTGCTTATCTGTGCTCAAAATTGGCTGCTTCCTGGACAATCCATCTCTAAATTTGCATCCATGCTTCAAGAATTTAATAATTTTCAGGAGACCGAGGGTGTGGTGAAGACTGGTATGTGTTGCAATGATGATATTGACTATTTATATTTTATATGAATTATTATATGTTTCAATTGTATTTTTTTTATTTGTGATGTAATGCCATTGACTATTTATATTTTATATATTTTTTAGATCTTTCCAGTGTTACTGATGTCAGAGAAGATGGTTGTGTGAGCATCATTTCATGTTGTATGGCTCTTATGTTTGTTAGCTTTCAAACTTTTAGATATTTTGGATACATTTTAGGCACATCTCACTAACTTTTTGTTATGTGAAGAAGCATGATGATAGTTTGATAGGCTAATGCTTATTTTTTGGCTAGCTAGTTATATCATGTGGTTGGCTAGAATTTATGGATAGTCATTTTTTTGGATAGACTATAGAGCTTGACAATGAAATGTTGAATTGTTGACTAAGTAGACTATAGTGAGATGTATATATTCTGAATATGAATATATTAATGAGTTTATTACTTGGCACTTATCTAGCATGCATGTTTGAGGGGGTTGACGAGAGATGGAGGTAACAAATAGTACCATGAACATGTGAGGAAGATGAAGTTTGGATTAGCATCTATGTAGTCATATGGGTCTTTAATTTTTTCTTTCAGTGTTCCCTTTTTTTAATATAATTTGACAGTAGAGTATCAAGTTGTCTTAATATTAGAAAAGGATTAATCTGTTGTCATTGTATATACTGCTAAGTTAATACAAGTGTCTACTTAGTTTATGTATTTGCGTCACTCATGCATGCTCTTGTTCCTTTTTAGCTCAAGACTTGAAAAAAAAAACATGTGCAAAGCATATATGTTCTATTATGTTTTCACACCATACGTAGACAGCAAAAACATTAAACAATATAAAAAAAAGAAAAGGGATATAAAAAAAAAACCTATGATATTAATGCAAGTGATTATAGGAAAGGGGATATAAGGGCTTTTTTTTTTGAGAGAGTTAGATTTAAGAAATTAGACTGGTCCAGTAACCTAGTGGACCAAGTCCAACTCGGTCCAAGTCTCGGGTCCAACAAGACTGGACCAGTCCTCAAACTGAAAATTCTAGTCCGGTCTCCATTCAGACTAGATTTCGAGTTGGCATCCAACCCGGTCTAGTCCAGTATTTGTGCAGCCCTGCCTAAAAGACAGCGCATGACATGCACAGGTGTTTGGAAAGATCTAACGTGTTAAAATTTAAAGATTTAAAAAATAAAAGTTGTAAGACATTTTGATAAAAAAATTTATATAAAGATTTTAACAAGTCATATTATTTTTAAATGAAAAAATCATGTGCTCCTCCAATTTTATTTAAGTCTGAAATAAAAATAAAAGTCTAAAACTTATTAATCTGTATTAAAATTTAAAAAATTTTCAACTTCCTTACTAAATGTACATTGTTAATATATTTTTCCTCATCAATATTTAATAAAAAATAAAAAAACTTATAATAAACAATTAATAACATGGTTTATAAATAGTACAAAACAAAATTCTCATCATATTTATAAATAAGTGCAAATGTTACTTCTCCACGTGTCATTGCGTTAATGGGTCCGATAATGAATGCAAAAGTAATGAGCTGCATAGCATTTGATTTGGGCCGTAATGAGATGTGCAGGAACGAGGTGTGTACCTGCGACCACTCCAATTATTGTGGGCTAGACAGTGGACACTTGACCTATAAAAAAAAAAAAAAATCTAGTCCTCACTTTGATGTCACTTTCACACACAGTCAAATTAGCAGCCTTCTTTCCTGTGGCCAAATTGGAAAAACAAAACGTGACACGCTCAATGTATTGTGATCTCCTTTGAATTCACACTTTGACGCAGACATGCAAGCAAGCACCTGGACACCCATTGTGGTGGTGGTGTTGTTAATTTTCATAAAACAGCACAATGTTGCGTCTTTCCTTCTAGAAATTGAATTAAAAAGAGATATAATGAAACTACGGTGCTGTTGAAGTGGGGGTGTGGATGAGAAAGAAAGAAAGATTGCGGAATCCAAAAACCACAATTAATGCGTTCTGGGGGCGGGGAGGTCACCGGCATCATATCTTTTGGGCTCTTCCCACATGGCTTTTCCCCAAGTCTTTGACCATGAAATTACTATTAGCCCCCTCATTCATATTCCCAAGCTGCTGATCCCCCTCCCCATGGCTCCATCACCTCATCCACTTGATTCGCGCTATACAAATCCTTGTAAATTGATTTATATCAACAATCAAATACTTTATATGGTTCAAATTATAAAATATATTTTTTAACTCATTTTGATTTAAAATATAAAATATTTGATAAGTTTTAATTTTTTTATTTTATCTTTATATCTATTAGCTTAGTTTGTTATGTAGTATTTATTTTATTTTTTTTTACTCTTCATAATAGTTAAAATTTTATTGATCAAGAATCTGATATTATAATACTTCATTAAAAAATATTATCTCTCTCAATTAATTTATTATTGACAAGTAGGAGAAAGGGTTAAAAAAAACTTTTAATATTTTTAATTGAAAATAAAGATATTAAATTTTATTGATATTTGAATTATAATTAAAAATATTTTCTATTTTAGATCGGACGGAGTTATCCTTTTAAAAAGTGATTAAATAAACTTTAATAATTTGAGTTTGTTTCAATTGTTAATTTAATTTTAAAATTTAATATTTATTGATTAAAGCAAGTTTGAAGGATAAAACAATTAATTATTCATTTAAATTAATTACTAATTTACTACATTCATTTACCGCCATAGATAATATTATGGAACGATGACCAATACAATGACATCCTAGCAGTTCTCTTGATTTTTTATATCTTTCATTTGAATCGTTATTTCTATTTTTAGCAAGCTTGTTGGTAAAATTATTAGATGCAATTGTAGAATATATAAGTTTCTTAAAAAAGAAAAAAAGAAATCAAGTATAGTAAACAGATATTAACAATAAATTAACTAAAAAGTACCACAAGTGTGATAATATATATATATATATATATATGAATATATGTGTGAGACCAAAACTGGGAGAGGGACATTGGAGTGATGGAGGAATGGGAAGTGGAAAGGCCATAGAGAAGCCTCATCCCCCCACCATTTATGAGCTTCTTTACACCCTCAACACAACTCTGATGCAGAGACACTGTGTAAGTGAAGCGGTCACAGAGAATACGAGCTTAAAAGAGGGGGCAGAGAGAGAGAGGGTGGTGGTTGTTTGAATCTGAGGTTGTGAGAGACTGGGCTTGTAAGGTCTGAATTGATGAAGCTTTGTCTCTCTTTCTCGTCAAATTGGTGAGACATTAAATGCAGAGCCACCTTCCCATTAATGACCCTCTACATATTGACAGGCCCTCTCATTAATCTCCTCCATTAATTCCCCTTCCTCTCTCTCCTCCCTCCTGACCCCACTCTCTCTCCTCCGCCACCGCCACCACCACCACCCTCCTCTCCGTCGCCATCTCCGACCGTCTTTTCACCAATCATCTTCTTCCACGTATCCCTTTTCCCCCCAACAAAAAGAATTAGTAATCCCCACCTATTGCTTTTTCTTCTTTTATCTCCTGTTGTATCTCTCCGGTGACAGTAATGCTTCCGGGTCGCCGCACCTTAGCCGGCTAGACGAGAAAGCTGCCGCTCCCACCGCTGCCATCGCCGCCGACGACCTCAGGAACATCGGGCTTGCTATTGACTTGCTTCGCCGGGACGAGCTCCCTCCTCCGTTGTATGACCTCATGCTTGATTCTGACAGGGGGAAGAACCCTCGTCTACGGAAGAACGGCGACTTCATCCCTCTGTAGTATCTGAACGAGAACACTCTCGGCTTTCCCAGCGACCCGAACGGTGATGGTCTTTTGGTCCAGAAGCTGCTGCTGCTTCCCCTCCGGTGGTACCGCCACGGTGACGCCGTCGCCGGCTCCATCACCATTCTCTCCGACGCCAAGCTCCGCTCGAATCCGAACGAGTAGGATCGCTTCAGGAGAAAATCACGACCGCCGTTGAATCGATCGTCCTCCGTATTCCTTCTCGGGGATTGCTCTTCATTGCAAGGAGTGATCTCCGAGACCAGAGAATGAGCCACGGGCGAGGGAGCTTCGGCCAGAGGGTCCATACTGATTCTATGCAAAATCGTGTCGTCGTCGAGGCTTGGCCGAATCCTCGCCGCCATCATTGGCGTGAACGGCGACTCCGCGCACAAAACTCCGGCACGGCAGAGGGGGCAATTTGCGTGGGACCTGAGCCAAACGTCGATGCAATCCACGTGAAACGTGTGTGAGCAAAACGGCAGCGTGCGGACGTACTCATCATCTTCGAACTCCAACAAACAGACCGCGCAATCGCGTCGAGACTCTTCGAATTGATCATTGGATTTGGCAGTGTAGAGGGAAAACGGTATGGTCTTGATGATGGACTCGTCGAGGCCATAAGGCGAGAACAAGTGAGGTCCATCGATTGCCTCGAAAGGAGAATCATAAGGGAGCGAGTCGAGGTCGCCGGAGGAGGATGGGAGATAGGAGCGTCGCCTACGGCGTCGCCACCGGCGAGCTAGGCGGATTATCGGAGGCATGAGGTGGCGGGAGATGAGGCGGGAGTAGGTGACGACGATAAAGGCGGTGGCAACGACGACAACCATTGCAATCAGAGGCGGACTGAAGTCAACCGGCAACTTTGAGGGCAGAGGCGATGTTTTGCTGACAGGAACAGGAAGGAGTGTCGGGGCAGGGGTGGCCGGAGAAGGGGCCGGAGATGGGGCCCAATGGTGAAAGTGAAGACGGGGTGGCTGAGAGGGAACCGAAGAAGAAGGAGAAGACGACGGTGGAATCATCATCATGATGAGAATGATCATGGAGTCTCTTTGAGGAGTAAAAAAATATTGGGCTTATGAATCTTTAAGAGTCAGAGAGGGAGAGAGACCGGAAGCTTGGTTCGTTGGTTTAATGCAAAGGTTGACTGAAAGTGTTTATTTTTCTTTCTTTGTTTATTTTTTTATTTTTTGCCGCCTTCCTTCTAATCTGCATCTTCAGGTTGCGGGGTGTGTGGAAAGGGAGTGGGGTGAGAGAGAGAGAGGACAGTGAAAGACACGTGTCAACTTTGGTGAATTTAAGGCGAGGAGCTTTTTTGCAGCGCGGAGCCTGCCAATTTTCCACGGTATTTAAGCCTAAGACACGTCATTGATGATGGTACAGTGCTATAATTATATAAATTTAATTTAATTTGGCTCCACAATATTATATTTATTTCCCTTGACCCTATCATTAATGACTGCCCCGGTCATGTAGTGCTAAATCACTTCATTGGTCAGTCTAGTTGGTAATCGCCAATGGAAGCTTAAAAAGACATTCAATGCCCCCATTTATGAAAATTAGCATTTTAATATTATTATCTGTTCTTAATCAGTCATGTCATGTGTGCACTTATTTTCAAGCATGTTCAAAATCTACTATAACAAAAATACTAGATTTTGAACTATTTGTTCAGAAGGTTTTTAAAGATTTTTTTAATATATATAATGAGTGTCTCAATATTTTTAAATAATTAAATAATTTTGTTTTTGTCTTAAAAAATGGAGAAAATATTAATTCTGTATTTTACTCCCCACTATTATGATATTAATTGTGATATTATTAGAAAAAAATAAAAAAATATTGTTATTTTATGTAATTTCATCTCTAATAAATTTTTATTGATATATATGATTTAATTAAAACCATATTATAAGGAAAAAAGAAAATATTGTACTACTTGATGCCAGATCTGTTTTTTTTTTTTAAAAAAAAAAAGAGGATGCCAGATCTGAACAGCGAGCAAAATATATATATATATATATATATAGAAGGAAATTGAAAATTGATCTGTCAGAATATGAGATCTGTTTTTTAATTGGACATCGGATTTGGTTAGAAACTAAGCTCCCAATCACTTGTCGAAACTATAAACTCATGCTGACCTAAAATCAGATATTAATTTGAGCCTTTAAAAGACTCATCGAGGCTAACTTTTGCTAGCTAAACCTTACTATGAAATAGGTAACAGATGTCAAATAATTAGAAAAAGAGGATAAGATTGTCAACAACAATAATCATATTCGGGAATATATTTTTACTAAGAGAACATTTCAATTCAGCAGCTCCAAGTTATCCCATTAAAGATCAGTCAAGACTTCCCCTTCCAGGCTTCCACTTCCTTTTCAAGGTATTCCTGAGAACAGGACTTATTGATTATGCCGCTGAGTTAGAAAATCGACCGACAAGCACATACCAAAATTAAAAAAACAATTGATATTTCATTCTCAGTGATCATATATTTATATGCTGCCCAACAACAAATCTTCAACAGACTCCTAATGTCTCTGGTCGAGAAGCAGTGCTGAAGAAACCGAATGGGTCCTATACTTCAGCTGGGAAATGGGCCCCATGCTTTGGCTAGAAAATGGGCCTCATGCTTCAATTAGGCCAATGCATCATGGGCTTTTGAGAGGAAATAAACAAATGAGTCCAATTTGTGATTGTTTAGAAAGGAGCATTCATCAACAGGAGAATCACAATCAAGGGTTAAAGCAAGGTTTTAAAAAATCAGACTGGTGATTAAACTGAACGGGTATTAATTTAAAGATTAATGGTCTAACTGTGATTAAATAGTGGTTGAATGATTTATGATTATTTTAGTTTAACCTGTAATTATATATGAAATTGCAGATGGTATAAATTCGGTAAAACCTTCCCCTTAGCTAATCAGGTAGTTTCAATTTGTCGGTGATGAGGACGGAGCTCAAGCTTCAACTCTAGATTCTGATCTCACCTTCATTCCCCAGCTAATGAAGCAGTTTCAATTTGTCGTAGCAATTGTAAAATTCTCAAACTAATCTCTTTTGACATTCATCGTGCGAACCACAAAGATAAATTCTTTCTTTGTACTGTTCTTCATGGTTTCGTAATTCATTCCTCAATATTCAAAGGGATTGGTTTGATGTTTTCTTTATTTTCTTCTGTTCATGTTCTTCTCTATCGTGGATGTGTTCCTAATCCTCCTGCATTCAGCATTGTATTCGTTTTCTACATTTTACCTCACTGTCTCGTTCTGAGTTTTGAGTCTCTAATCCCCGTTATTTATGAGCCCATTTGTAGTTTCTTAGCATTATTACCTTTCATTTCTAAGGGGCATTTCAATGCTATATGGTTCGTTCTCTATGCTAAGCTCACAATTATGTTCCTGTAAATGGCGACTCAACTCCTTAAGCGTTTTCCCTTAACATCCCAAGCTTGCAAATCCTTATTTCTCTTCTGTTACTCTTCATCGCCACCGTCCTTCGATGAGGCCTCCACCACTCAAAGTGCCATAACCACCGTCGTTTCTATCCTCACCCACCACCGTTCAAAATCTCGTTGGAGCTGCCTCCGTTCTCTATACCCCAACGGCTTCGATCCTGACTATTTTTTTCAAATCACACTCCACCTGAGGAGCAGACCCCATCTCGCCCTTCAATTTTTCGGCTTTTAGCGATTCCCGCTGCAACCACAACCTCGCCTCTTATTCCACGATCTTCAACATTCTTGCTCGTGGCCGTCTCAAGTCGCATGCCCAAGACATCATTTGGTTAGCTATTTGAGCATCGAAATTGCAAGAGGATGATGTCGAAGACAATCATAGGTCAGCCCCCTTAAAGGTATTCAAGAATCTTGTGAAAACTTTCAGAGATTGTGGGTCGGCTCTATTGTGTTCGATTTGTTGATCAAAGCCTGTTTGGGATCAAAGAATATTTGACCCTGCAATTAAAATCATGAGATTATTATGGTCCCGTGGGATTAACCTGAATGTCAGTACCTTGAATTCTTTGATTTATTGCATTTGCAAATTTCGAGGGATTGAAGGATATGAAATTTACAGAGAAGCCTTTTGGTTAGATGAGGAAAGCGAGAAAGATGGGAAGAGGGATGGGGAAGTTAACCCGAATGTGTATACTTACAACACATTGATGTTATGCTGTTACCAAAACGATTTGATTGAGAAGATGAAAAAGATTTGGGATGAAATGGGTGAATTAAACTGTGTTCCCAGTGGTTATAGCCATACTGTATTGATGGCTGCATCTTGTAAAGAAGTAAGAATAGAAGACGCTGAGAAGTTGCGGCAAGAAATGAGAACTAAAGGCTTGGAGCCTGATGCAATGAGTTATGAAAACATGCTTGGTCGATTTTGCAAGACTGGACAAGTTGAAGGGCTGAATAATTTTTCAGAGAAATAGCAATGGATGGTACTGCTTATAAGCATATCATCAAGGGGATACTGTAATATAGGAGAGAGAGATTCTGCTATTCTTGTTTACAAGGACACATGTAGGAAGGCTTTTTAAGCCAGAGGGTTTTAACCACAGGCTTGATGATTGGGTTACTTTGTGATAAGGATGAGGCAGTGGAGTTTCTGAGGCATGCGATGGATAGGCTTGACTTGTTCCCCAAGGAAACGAGTTACGAGGCCGTGATAAAGAGGCTGTATTATGAGGGAAGGATGGAAAAAGCATTGACGCTCCAAGCAGAGATGTTAGCAAAAGGGTTTCAACCAAATTCAGATATTTATATTTCTACTTTTAAAAAACATAACTTTAAATTTTTATACTTTTCTTACATTTTGTCATTAATCTATGTGTTTTTTTCTCTATTTTAAATTTTTACACTTCTGTTTTTCATATTTTAAATCCCTCCAAAATCCACACACTTTATTCATGAAAAAACATAAAATAATAAAAAATAAAAGTGTAAGAACGTAAAATATAAAAATAAAATAAAATATAAGAATCAATAGTAAAACGAACAAAATACAGAAATCTAAAATTATATTTTCCTTTCTATCTTTATGGTTTTGTCACCTAGAGTATATCTATATCATTATCATTGAATATCTTTTTTCGGCCAACCTCTTTTTATTTAATTTTAATCCATTTTCCATGGAGAAATATTACACGCTTTCGAAGTGATAGTACTTGTAACAGAGGGACTTGCTTGTTGTATTAAGCTAAAGGTTATTAATAACGAAATTGATTGATGAAATTTTATAAAATAGGTAATAATATGAGGTTATTTGAAGCTATCAATTTTCTTTTTTCAAAAGGGAAGTTTGTCAATTTAATTCTTAAATTTATCTATTAAATTAAAGAACTATTTCCAAATAAGCAACTCTGATTAAACCCACAAAGAGTTGGCCAAAAAAAAACGAAAGAAAGAAAGAAAATATTAAACCCACTAAGAAAGCGAATGGAAAATCCGTTTTGTCGGTAAAGCATGCAATCTAGTCCTAACTGAAACGACACCATTCTAAAATAACATGACCTTTAGCAGCAGACAGCTGTTTTATGAAGAAGCTATTCTTCATGCCTTTTCACAGAAAAACAGGATTCATCATATTAAAGTGTCAAATAGCCACATTCACGCAGCTAGCCACCTTAATAATGGAAATCTACACAAACTTGAAGTCAGAAGTCAGAACATATGATAGCTTACACCAAAAATTCCTTCCACAGCCCAATTTCATCTTCTCCGCAAGACCAACTGAACCTATTGAAACAGAAAATAATTGCATAAAACTTTCCATGACTCTCATTTCTCAGCAGCAAGAAAAAACAAGAACTGAGACTAATAAATTTATGCATTTAGATGCATTATCCATACATTCCTGAATACCTCTAGCAGAAAATACGAAATAACATGCTTCTGAAGCTAATGAAGCCACTAGTTAGTAAGATGCCAGTACTGGCATGCCAGAGTTTGAATTGTCTCAAGTTGTGGAGTAAAAACCAATCACCGTGACCAAATTTCCTAATTTTATTTTGTCTGTTTTTCAGGTGATCTCAGAATTTATTCAAAATAACTCATTCTCCCTCCACAAATTGACAGTCCAAACTCAGCTTACCACCCGCTCCAAGCTTCCAAATGTACATATTAATATATTATCTCTCCTGACCTCTGCATGAGCAAATGAACTGTGCAAGTTTGCAAGTCATAAGTATCTCATATAAATCCAATCTTAAATCCAATATAAAAGGATCTTCTTCTTCCTTATGCAAACTCTAGACCGCATCAGCAGTTTTCAGCACTATCCTTGCTGTTGTTATTGAACAGGAAAAGATTATAATGAGACCGCAATTATTAAGGCGCAAGAGGAGGAAATGGTTTTTTTTTTTTTAGGGGGGGGGGTGTTTGTTTCAGTACTCCATAATTGCTGCTGTTACCATTGGCCGGATACTTAAAAGACATAGACGAGAAGGTTAAGTGTTTATATCAGTATGGAGTTTGTTATAGAGCGCAAATCGGTTGGAGATCTCTGGCGGTCCTGGCAAGTACTAGAATTTACTTTGCTGTTTTGATTTTTTTTTCCTATTTTCTGGTTCAGTTTTATTTCAAGCATGTAAACTGGAGTCGAACATATTACAAAATGATGGCAAAAAAATAGTGGATAAATCACACTCTTCAACTAAGATTAAACTAACATTCAATTGGTTGTCAGTGATCCAAATTAATATAATTATATCACATGAATCTTGAATTTAGTTCGAATTGATTTTAATTCTTTGTTATGCAGATTGAGTGCGGGAAGATCGTCGACAATCCTAAAACAGAAGAACATGAATAGAAGAAATTGATCCGCGGAAAGCAGCATACCAGCCCGAGAATAACAAAATCATGACAAACGACACAGAAAGAAATAGTTGATATTTATAGGTCACACGACAAATGTCAAAACAGATTCATTAGAGTTTGAAAATTCTACAATCATTACGACGAACTAAATTTGCTTGGTTACCTGGAGGTCAGAATCTAGAGTTCAAGCTTGAGCTCGTCCTTCTCGCCGATGAGATAGTGGAGGACGTAAGGGGTGACTCGAATTGCAACGACCCAAGCACTGAACATGGCGACATGAGATTTGAGCTGCTTTAGCGCTGCAGCCTTGTCAGGCTTACGCATAAACATTCCAGGAAACATGATTCCTTCGAAGAAGAGGTATCGGTTTCTTGCAGTTTGCTTAAACCCTAGATTGGGATTCTAGTGTCCTTCTGCTGATGAATTCTCCTTTTGCTTGACTACACCTAGGGCCCGAAATTCTATACCAAGTCAAGAGCCCGCCAAGTATAGGCCCAATCGAAACATAAGCCCAATTTACCAGCTCCCCAACGTAGGTCCATTTTCCCCTCCCCACGTTGTCTTACTTTTAAATTTAAAATCCAATCCAAGGTACATATTAAATCAGAACTTTTGCCCAAACAAAATAGAACTTGGCTGGTCAAAAAACAAAAACAAAAACAAAATAGAACTTGTAGTTTTAGATCTGTGGGCCCCATTAAACCAGGAGTCATTTTTCATGACATGGTGTATGCTGTATGCAAGCAGATTTAACATGACAGTGTGTATGCAAGTTGCATGACAGATGACACTATGACATCTAAAAATGAAATATCATTTTCCATGTTTTGCGGTCATTAAGTTTTTTATCAACAGGAATACCCTGACCGGAAGTTTAAGGGGTCAAAGTTTTGATGCAACATGTTCTTTATAGTTAATAGGGTAAATTCCAGTCTCTGGATGAATAATTCTCTTCAAGAATATGTGTGAATTGGATAATTTGTTGAGAAAATTGTATTAGTTACCCATTTTAAAGTATTAGAGTACAAGTCTAAAGTATTGGTTGCCTACCCATTACCAAAACAAAGTTTTTGAATTGGAGTCGATTGTGAATTTTAGGCATATGAAAATAATATTTGAGTTTTAAAATCTTTGTTATTAAGTTTTTAAATAAAACTACAATACTTGAATTATTTTTTTATTTAAAGCAATATTACATCATTAGAATCTCCAAGAGGATGTTATCAAAAAATTTAAAAGGAATTTACGTATTATATGCTTGTTAAGAAAATCAAATATAAAAAAAAATTATACATACCTATATCTAATCAGAAAAAGCTAATATAACATCCACGAGAGAGGATTACAAACTACTTCTGGATTTCCCTTGATAGATGCGTAATAGGTAAAAATACTTTAGTATTTGAAAACGAAATGAAGGAGAACATAATAAAGAATTCAATGATGCTACAAAAGATAATTGGGAGGCACAAAAGCATTCTAGAAGCATCGGCAACATATATATGATTGCTTAATGATTACCTTTTACCTAGAATAAAAGGATTACTTGGTTTGCGAAACCGTCCGATAATTGAGTGAAGTAGACTTTCCGCCATGGCTAGAAAGCTATTCTCAAATAATTTGTTCCTACTACATTGATTGCAAATGCTTTAAAAAAAAAAAAAACAGTGCTTTTTCAGCATCTATATCTATATAAATTTAAAATTTTTGGATGAACCATAAATGAACAGTGATTTATTAAAAATGTACTCACTTTTTTTTTTGTCTTGTATTTTGTAACACTATCGGATAATAACAGTACCATCCGACTTTTTTATTTTAAAAAAAATTGTTACCAATCTAACATTTTCTTTCCTTTGTTTTTTTTTTAATTTTCAAATGAGTATGGTACATTTGAAACTTATACTTGAAAATGAGAAAAAATATTTCGTTTTAATTAATGATACCCTCTTTTATTTTTTAAAATCTATATGAATATTTTTTTAGTATAAATAATTATAAAATACAAGCCCTTATTTTATTTTTAAGATTTTATTTTTATCTATTTAACCATTAATTGACCATTAAGTTACGTTTGTTAGATTAAAATACCATTATTTAAATATAAATATTGTCCAAAAATCATTCAAATTAAAAAAATAAATAAATTTTTTATTATTCAAATGTATTTATTTTGTAACTTTTTAGAAAGTTAAATATATAAATTGGTCAAAAAATATTCAAAGACGTAGTGTATAGACTCAATAAAGAAAAAAATAAAAAAATATTTTTTAATAATTTGGGGTAGTTAAATCAGTCTAAATAAATTCAAAAGCTAAAGGTGTTAAAAGTTAAGCTCGACTATAAATTTTTTATATATTCAGATATTTTAAACTTAATATGAATTAAAGTTGTAAGGGTAATGGAGAAAATGCAATATTTTAATAAACTTGATTTTTTTAAAAAATAAAGTAATATGATTTAAAAAAGTAGTGTGTAGGACCTACACAAAAAAATATGAGCGGGGTCTACATTTATAAATTTTAAAAATTTAAACAAAATGTAAAAAATAATAAGATTTTTATATTTTGAGAGATCATGTAGGATTTTATATTAAAAATTGATGGTGAATGTAAGATTTTTAGTAAAATAATAGTCACTCCCTCCATTCAAACATATGAGGCATTTTTAACTAAATCTCACTCTCAATAAAGTAGTTGTCTACTTTCAAACTAACATTATCTTTTTATATTTACTCCTATTAAACACCTTACAATAAATAAAGTCATTTATCAATAGGAATACTTTTAAAAAAAGAACAATGATTACACCTTAAAAAATTAAAAATGCCTTACATTTTTAATCAAAGTAAATATTAGATATACAATAATTTTTTATATACTCCCTACATTAAAAAATATAAGAAATTTTTTAGGGATTGAATGTTAAAAAATATAAAGCATTTTTAGTCTTTTAAGGTGTAATTTACTGGCAAAAAAGAAAGTGTAATAATTACTTTTTTTTTAAGTGTCCCTATTGAATAAATTACTTCATGTTTATTTTAGGGTAAAACACCCTATTAAATAGGGATAAATAAGAAAAAATGAGATTAGTTTAAAGATAAATAACCACTTTATTGGGGTAAAATTTATTTAAAAATGCTATATATTTTTTAATGAAGGGAGTATTTATTATTAACATAGGGCAACAAATCAAAATAGTTTGTGTGAGTAGTATAAAACAAGTTTTTATTATATTCTTTGAATGGAGAAGGAATAAAAATATTATTATTTTATTGTTTATATGTAAAAGTTAATCATGATTTAAATACTTATGAAAAATATTAATCTAATCATGTGCCTTAAGTCTGAGCAACAAAAATTATGGGTTACAAATTAATCATATAATATTAATGAATTTATCCTCTACTGTACACCCAATCTTTTTTTAATAATCATTATATTATTTACATATACATGTTTGAAATATTACTTTAATAAAATTATTCCATTAGTTAAAAAGACATTTTTTAAAGGTTATTTTTTAAGAGTTAGATGTTAAGAAATATAAAAAAATTTTAATGTTTAAATATGTAATTATTGACCTTTTTTTTAAAAAAAGTCCATAATGAATAAATTATTTTATATTTATTTTAGTATGAAACACCCAAATAAATAGTAAATATGGAAAGATATTGTTATTTTGAAGACAAGTAACTATATTATTGAGAGTGAGATTTGGTTAACAATACCTTATATTTTTTAAAAGATGGAGTATGTATTTAATTTTTTTAAAAATACTAAATAAATTAGTTTGTATGACTAATAAATTTAAAATAAAAATTTAAAAGAATATATCAAGAATAGTAACTTTCAGCTAATGATTAGATAGGTGAAAATAAAAACTTATAAGAAGTCATATTCATGTTTTGTAACTCTTAACTATTGATTTTAAGAGGGATTCATATAAATTTTAAAAATAAAAACTAGTTATAATCAAGATAAAATAAAGGAAAAAAGTGATATATTTTACTTTAAGGATGTTAAAATAATTTTTTAATATTTTTATTTATTTTTATTCTCAACAACTAAAATATTGTCATGCATTGCACCGGGCATAAATCTAGTTACTATTAAAAGGTAAACTTGTTGGTATTTTTAATTCATTTTCTCCTTATTTACTTTTTCCACCCTGTTCAAGAATAAACTGGACAAAGAAGCACCAGGGAGATACCTATTTCACTCCATTATCACATGTTTGTGCCTTTTTTGCTTTAGTGAAATTCCTTTATAACAATTCCAAAAGAAAAAATGTTCCTTCTTATCCAATCCCCAGTTTCCAAACCTCCAAACAGTTCATGACAAAGAAGAGTAAGAGACAGTAAATTCCTTGAGCATAAACTACAAACAGTGATTCTAATATCTTTAACCTCGGCTCATCACCCTGACAAATCTATCTCATAAGATTCTTTGCTCATAAATGCAGTGACAATTGATCCGTTTTTCTACATTATATTATGTTTCAAGCAATTTTTCAATCTGATTTTCCCTTCCTCTATCAAGTCCACGCAAAATTGAAAAATTGATGTAGAACTGCAGTTGTAAGAGATAAATGGAAGGCTAAAATGTAACAGCCCTCTGCTCACCCCGCCTCCCTGAGGTCTTTTGCGGTGCTGGACACTCTCCTCCCAAGCCCCACAATAGGACGACCCCACCCCTTTCGGTGAGCATCAGAAGACAAAGGCTTCCGTAAAGGGTGGGAGAAGGTATACCCAAAACTACTGCGGGGAAGCCTTTGTCTTCTGATGCTCACCGTAAGGGATGGGGTCGCCCTGTTGTGGGGCCTGGGAGGAGAGTGTCCAGCGCCTCGGGTGACGATGAGATTTCGAGGAGGGCTGTTACATAAAAGAAAGTGGGAAGAAAAAATTTCATTCAGTTTTGAAAAAGATAGAGCAGAGAACAACAGCTTTTCACTTCAATCTCTTGAACTTACAAGTTCTGCAGAAGACTTGGAAGAAAGTACCCATACAAATAAATGACTTGTATAAACCGGAAGATTCCTGATATCTGTTTCTGTACCAAAAGAAACAAAATGGAAAACGGTCAAAAAAAGTAAAGGTTCAGAACAGAATAAAGAAAAGAAGTTGCAGGAAAAAAAAAAGTAGTACCTGGACCTTAATTATAGGTTCCTTTGGGTTGCTTGATTCTCCCGATCTTCAGTTAAGTTCTTCAAACAGGAGATGCTGCTGGGCACTGACACAAGGGTATTGATTCTCCACAATCATTCACCTTGCCCACTATGAAACATCTATCTCCTTGTACTGAACCTTGCAGCCATTATGCAATTTCTTCTTTCTGCTTTATGTCAGGCTCAAATGGTATTTGAATCAACTTGTACATATCTTGACTAATCCAACTAATCCACTAGTGTGGTTTGATTAAAGGTGGGTTATTCAAGTTATTACCAAGGGATTCACAAATAACGTCTTACAACTTAACCCCAAAAGATTAGGATAGCTGGAACCTGAACATGAAATGGTTGCATTCTTTAATCTCAATGCTTCGCTTAGAAAAATCCCAGACATAATGTTCAATCCAGCTCATTATGCTATCAATATTAAAATCTATTTAATACATTCAAGAACAGTTCTTCCAATATGCTTACGGGTAATAGGCATATACTGGATGAAGATATAAATGGATGAGATCACCAAGCAGATAAGAATTTCTATCAGAAAAACAAAAAGCTTAGAGAACTACTGTTTGAAAAAGAGATTTATTCCCTTTTCTTTTCCTTCCAAAACTTTAATTACAGTGATTGCGTACATGTTATTGTTGCCCATCATCGTTAACTTTCAATTGCTTCTTTAAAATGAAGAAACTATCCCTTGAATGACCTGCATACCAATCATTTCTTAGTAGCAATGCACATCAAAAACTTGTGCAAAAAGGTTGCTGGTTAGCAAATCTTTAGACGATAATGTAAAGTAAAAATGGGTATATATTCTTTCGTGGGACACCACTTAATATACCTTATGCTTTGCCTCGTAGGCTTCTTGATCACACAGGGGATTCCCATAAAAGCCGTTTAGAATTCACCTCCATTCCCGGAGGAACGACTTCTTTCCAATTGCTTCAATCATAAGCCAATGTTCAAACTTCACATCACAACTTTCTAGCCTTCAAAAGCATCCCTGATCACCCATCAAGCAACAAAAATCGAGATCATACCCTTCATATCGTCCATCAGTTTTCTTAATGTATTCCTCAAGCAAACCTCAGAAATACATAGACACGACCATGAAGAACAGTGAGATATGCCATTTCGGTCATCCTCAACACAAGCTGAGTTTCGAGTACTCACAATTCCCATTCAAATGTGATGGCTGCAAGGAAGTAGGGATAGGCTCGCGCTACAAATGCTCCATTTGTGACTACGACCTCCACATGCACTGTGCTTTACCTTCCCCTTCGATCTACCATCCATTCTACCCTAAATGTTCGTTCCAATTCCTCTCTCGCCCACCAGGCGACATACCGCGATTCTGCAACGCATGCGAGAAGGGCATCTCAGGGTTCGTCTATCACTGCCCTTCTTGCGGATTCGATCTCCATCCATGCTGCGCGAAGCTTCCAATGGTGCTCGACGATGGCGAAATGAAGCTGTATCTGTATCAGAAAGTAAGCTCGGCGTGTCACCGATGTGGGAGGAAGGGGCGAAGCTGGAGTTACAGATCAAAGTGCAAGAGCTACAATCTACACGTGGCTTGTGTGAGGGAGATGGTGGTGGAGAGTTGGCCTGAGATTTATATGGGAAGCAAGAAACGGAGCAGATTAGAGAATGAAATTCCTAGCTTGAAGAACACGCTTCAGAGTAGCCACAGTAGCAGCAGAAGCAAAGGAAAGGTGAGGAAGTGTTGTGAGATGGCGGGGATAGCTGTTCAGTTCGTTGTGTCGGCGGTGTTGGGAGATCCAACGGCCCTCATTGGTGGGGTCGTGGGGTCCTTGATATCACGTGCTTGATGGAGTAGCGTGATAGCGTCCAATGTTTATTGAACGGCTCTGTTCTAGATTTATACATCCCGTGTGTGTCTCTGTGTGTATTTTACACTCACGTAAGTATTGGCCCAATATATATATATATATATATATATATATTATGTACACACGTAAGTCGGAAGGTAACGTAACGGTCCAGATTTATCTTTACATGACAAGTTACCATGTTACATCCTGAGTGTGGCGTTTTTGTTGCTAAATATGGTTTTAACTTTTAACCAGGAACTTTTGTTGCTATCTGTGTTCAGCATGAACTTTCTGTTACTTGCAATTCCAGTGTTCCTTCATTTGGGATGGGAAGATAACGACATGGAGCATCATGGAATGCCTGTGTTTTTACTCAGTTTGGAGTTTCCGCAATACTTTCTAACGGTAGTGTGATCACTTTTTTGTTTCTTAATTTGACTAGATCTCTTTCGTTGCTGAGAGTTTGAAACTAACAATCAGATAGTTTACGGCTCCATGAGCAACGTAGCTTTCATTAATGTTCTCTCTAGTACCATTTATAAGCTAGATAACAAAATTTTTGAATCATGGGATGTCATTGATATTTTTTTTAAAAAAAAAGGGTTATTAGTTTCAAAGTTTTTGCTAAAACATGTTAAAAATAATTTGTAAATAGAATTAAATGGAGTAAAATTTTGATATTACAACTTTCCAATTCTGCATAGTAATTGCAATATAGGAAAAGCTCTAGGCTGTGAGTTATGATTCTTGCTATTCTATTCCTATGCATAAACTGTCTTTTATAAGATAGATTGATTCAAATATTGTTACAGTACTATTCCTTTTCAGTTAATTTTCGGATCGGTGAGTCCTTTTCAAAAAAAAAAGACAAGAAAGAAAGAAAGAAAATCATTTGAATATCTCGTGACATGGGATGGGAATAGTCTTTCACGTTAAGAGGCTTCATTTTGGTCCATTTCACTTGGTCACCTTCTTGCCCATTCTATCACAGGCCCACAACAATCACATGGGTGCTAGACTACTAGTGCATCTTCTCAATACACAAAAAAACGGAGGAAACCTCTTGGATACCACAGTGCATACCAATTCAAGTAAACTATCGAAGTAGGACTTATTCTATTAGGCTCCTCACCAATTTCAGGCTATTGACTCCGCCACTGCACATTAACTCACCAAAGCCTCATGTGGTTCCCACTGACAACTTCAATTGAATCATATATATTTCCTCTTGCCACCCTATCCTCATATACCACTTTCTCTGTATGAATTGTATGCACAGAGCATCAAATTCCGAACCCAATACCCAACCAAACGTTTCAACCTTGTGTCAGAAATACTCAGAGTTTCCGAGGAACATGTTGAAAGCAGAAGAGTAGCATAAAACAGGGTTTTGATGTTCTTCAAGATGAGTGGACCAATTTTATCTGTCTAAATAAAATTTAGCCAACTAGGACCAGCTTAATCAGCAAAATTGAGCTGTATCAGTACAATTTTTGTCTTCGTTTTTTGGGGGCTAAATTTTGCCCTAAAATTAGAATAAACTATAATTTTCTCTAAATTTGTAAGCATAATCAATAGAACAATAAACATAAAGAAAGCCATCACATCACTAACAAAAATTACATCCTTATTATCTTCTAAAGTGGTTCAAGGCACGCTTTCCAACATGAAGAAGACAATAAGATAATGCATATTCATACAACATAATATTTCAAAGGAAAAATAACATCTAAAGATTTGACAAAAAACTCATGTGTAGATAAGAACTAATAACAAGTCTTATTTCAAAAAAAAAAAAGAGCTCATGATCTTATTTTAGCAATAATTTATTTCACATTGATCATTGTTAACCAATGAATTTTTTGTTAGATCCTTGGATGTGATTCTTGTTATTTCAAAACACTTCGACCAAAAACATTAGCTCACTGACATAAATTCGGAAACCCTGGACTGATTAAGGTGGCACCCTATCAAACTTTTTGAACTCGAGGGAAAATGACTATGCAAACTGTAGAGATAGTCTAAGATGAAGATGAAGCTTTCATTTCAGCTTTGATGGCAGCAGCCAGCTGATCATAAGCTACTCCCCATGCATCCTTCATGTCTGGCAACCACATTTCTGATACTGCTTCTTTTATGGTTTCCAAAAGTGCAAACTTCACAACCTTAAAAACAGGGAAAATTAGGTTATACATTGATCTTGTACAAAAGAACTCTCCATTCAGATATGTTTTGCACCTGATTAAGTAGATTCTAGGTAAATATAGTGCACTTCTATCATCATCTGTCTATAAATTTCTTTAGTAGTAAATTGAAAGAAGAATGGAATCCCAAAGATACATCTGCCGGTGTCAGTAGAAAGGCCTCATTTTTAAAGTAAATTCTCAAGTCAAATACCTCAAATTACTACACAAAATTTCATCTTTAACCATGTCCACTTTTCTGATCAGCGAACGATTAAGTCAAATACCTCAAAATGCTCATCCACCACACCGCTTTTGAAATGAACAGCGCCCAATCTTTTCAAGTTGGATTCTCTTACTGTGACTTTACCAGCTTTCCGCAGCTGAACTGCCGATTCACACGTCTGCAAATATCCGGTGAAAGAAATTTAGCAGAAGACATATTGTATGGAATATAAATGGTGCTAGAGCTAGAATGGGATGTATATGAACATAGTAGTTTCATCCATATGGTAGAGTAAAATCAATGCAGGTCAAAAACAGAGGAAGCTTACCATGACAAAGACATTCACAGCATGAGGCTTGAGCTTCGGGTTTTGCTCCAAAGGGACTTTTGAATCTCTCAAGAAGGAGAACAAGTTCTGAGCCGACGGGGCAATCTCAAATATTCTAAGTTTAAACCAAAAATAAAATAAAATAAAAGAAGCATAAATCGTCATTAAGAAGGCAGCGAAAAATATAGTTGAAATCAAGAAGAGGATTCAGTAAAGGAGATCCCTACTTCAAGAAAAATTTGAGAGCGATCTCTGCAGAATTCTTCTTCATTACGTCCCATGACTTCACCACGAGGTCTTCTTGCTCTTGGGTGAAACATATTCCCTCCGGGGGGCTCATCTTCTGGGTAATCCAATGGGAATCAATGAAGTTGAGAAATTATGGGGTTTGAGGGTAAGTGGAGGATGTTGCGGTGAGATTTAAGGAAGGCGAAAGTGTCCCTTGAGGGCAATGGCGAGCCATTCTTGCCATATTGGACTGGGATGCTTCGTGGTGGGCAATCAATTAATTAGAACGAGCCAAAAACTAGGGAACGGGAGATCAAATGCTTCGAATTTGATAGTAACGTTACAGAAAGGGAGGGACGTGGCGACAAGTAAAAACAATAAATAAATTAAGTATTTGCGTAGAGTTTTTCAATAATATTATAAGCCTTTTCGTCCTTTCGAGTATTATTTTGAATAAAATAATATATTTATTGCAGAAAAGGCGGGCTCGAAACTAGGTGCTGCCTGCTGCCGGGATTGGACCGTTAGTTTACCTCACATAAGTCGTTGACTCTCTGTCTCTTGGTTGCATCAGCCATGAACTCACGAATCGATTTTTAATTTGATAATATATTGTTTGACTCTTTCCAATTTCTCCATCTTCGCCTCGAAACTATACATAATGAATACTCCCTTCGATCTTATTTATAAGTTATTTCTATCAATCTCGTCAATACCAATATAATAAAAGTATAAGGAATAAAAGTAAGTAAAATTCCAAACATACCCCTATATAACAAATCTAAAAAGTAATGTCCTGTTACTTTTTCTCTCTCATAAAGGATAATTTTGGAAATACCTCTCAAATATTACCTAAAAAGACACACCGTGACTTATAAATGGGACCAAATACATCTTTTAAAATTGAATTTATAAATGGGACCGGAGGGAGTATGATTTTGTGCACCATTCAATAAAAATAATCTAAAATATAACCATAATTTGAAAAAAAATAAAACACTTTAATAAAAACGAAAAATGGTTGGAATTCAATCTTTATATAAGCATCACAAATTTAGTGGATAGATTTACCCTCACCCTCATCACCTGAGAGAGATTATGTTGTGTTGTCAGTAATTATACTTCTCATGTTTTATAAAAAATAAATAAATGAATGTATATTAGAATGACGAAAAAAGATATTTTTAATTATATTTATATTATTTTTTTATCGGAGAGCACAAAATATTGTGGCATGCTCGGAATATTTTAATAATTTTCTTTCTCCAACTTGATGAGCAGTGAATGTTTGGGGGACATGGTGGCAAAATTTTCCCCTCGCATCAACGTAGGATCAATACTTGGTTTTCAAGAGGATGCTGGGCAGTAAAATTTAAAAATAAATATTTCCTTCCTGTACTACTTTGCTTTCAATGTAAAATAACGAGAAAAAGTTGATGTGGTAGTTACAGGTGTCCAGAGTTGCTTGTCGCAGACAAGACAATTTTCAATCCCAGAATGGAGCTCAATGTCGGCGTTGCATTAAAACTTTGACCCGTTAGACTTCCGGTCAGGTTATTCCTGAGCACAAACCCAGAGATTATATCAACGGCTATTAAAATGACCCAGCAAAAAATGGAAAATAATTATATTTCCTTTTTAGAGGTCATAGTGTCATACAACTTGCATTCACCATGTCATGAAAAACGACTCCTCATTTCATGGGGCTCAAGGATTTACAGCTATAAATTATGGATTTGTTTAAAAATTTATTTTAAAAACAGTTTTTTATTTTTCAAAATAAAAAAATAAAAAAATTTATTTAATAAAGTATTTTTAAAAAGTATTTTAAAAAATAAAAAAATAAAATATTATTCTAAAAAATAGAAAAATAAAAATAACTTTTAAATGTTCTGTAATTATTGTTTTAAAAAAATAAGAAAGAATAAAAAAATATTTATTTTTATTATTATTTTATTTTTAAAACATGTTCTATAAAACATTAATTTTTAAAATAATAAAATAAAAATAATTTGAAACAGTTCCTATGTGTTTCCGCAAAAGTTCTATGTACCTTGGATTGTATTTTAAATATAAAAGTAAGACAACAGGGGCCGGGAAAAAGAAAAAGCTATGTTGGGGGGCTGGGAAATTGGGCTCATGTTTCACTTAGGCCTATACTTGGTGGGCTCTTTACGTAGCCCTAATCAAAATTGGGCTTTAAACCCAATGTGTAGTCAATCTAAAGGAGAATTCATCAGCAGAAGAATACCAGAATCCCAATCTAGGGTTTAAGCAAACCGCGAGAACCCGATAACTCTTCGTCGAAGAAATCACGTTTCCAGGAATGTTTGTGCGTGAGCCTGACAAGGCTGCAGTGCTGAAGCAGCTAAAATCTCATGTCGCCATGTTCTGTGCTTGGGTCGTGCAATTCGAGTCACCCCTTACGTCTTCCACTATCTCGTCGGCGAGAAGGACGAGCTCAAGCTAGAACTCTAGATTCTGACCTCCAGGTAACCAAGCAAATTCTGTTCGTCGTAATGATTGTAAAATTTTCAAACTCTAATGAATCTGTTTTGACATTCGTCGTGTGACCTCTAAATATGAACTATTTCTTTTTTCCTTGTTTGTCATGATTGTGTAATTCTCGAGCTGGAATGCTGCTTTCCGCGGATCAATTCGTTTTATTCATGTTTTTCTGTTTTAGGAATGTCGATGATCCTTCTGCATTCAATCAATATATTAAAGAATAAAAAGCAATTGGAACTAAATTCAGGATTCAGGAATCTCCTTTCTCGTTCGAATGGAATTAAAGTCCAAGCAAACAACCAAACGCACTTGTCATGGTAATCCTGTTTCCATTCCTTGATCTAATGTGTTTATTTGACATCAACCAAACGGGCGATCAAAGACTTTGTGACCTCTCTAGTTGCATCTCGGTTCAGAGGTATCAACTGAGCCTATGGCCTTATGGTCTTTTACAAGAAGGCTTTCACTAAGGCACTTTCAACTTCTTCTTCCTCGCACACTTCACCCATCAAATCTCACAGTCACACCTCACTATCTCTCTCAGGGTTTTCAGCAAACAGTTTCCCTACCGTCTCACTTCCTTAAACCTTCATTCTCTTATCACTCTCGACCTCTCAGCAATCCCATCGACTTCAATGCTGATAAGTTCCATTTCCGTGGGGATCCAATTGACCCAGTTCTACAGCAGTTCCTTGAATTGCTCAGAAAGGTCGATTATAGTTCATCACAAGCAGAGGCCATGGCCTTTCTGGATGGATCAGGTATCAAAGCTAATAGAAATTTAATTGGTTCGGCGATTTGGGAACTGAGGGAAGAGTACGATGCTGCTTTTTTAGCGTTTAAATGGGGTAAGAAGTGGAATTGCAATGATGAAAATGTTTATCAATTGATGATATGGGTCTTGGGCTATCATCGGAAGTTTTCTACTGCATGGGGTTTGATTCAAGATATGCATCGGTCTTCTCTGTGTACTCGGCAGGCTATGCTTATTATGATTGATAGGTGAAATGGCCTTTGCTCTTGAAAATCTTTCTGGTTCGTAGAAGTTTTTGTTGGTGTCATTATCATGGTTAAAATGGAGAGTCAGTTACAAATTTTCCCTGGCACTTATGCCAAACATACTTTTTCAATTTTTCAAATAAAATTTTGTGAAATTATCGGCTTTGTTAAAGATCATCTGGGTTGCATTCAGTGACAATAACACTATAACTTCCAAGTATTTTGGTTCTGTGAAATACTTCTCAGTAGTTCCTTTTAATAATGTATCTCATCTACAACTTTTTTTAAAAATGTGGAATGAATCTTTATATTTGTATTATTATGTTAAGAAGTACCTCTTAATAGGAAGCATCAGACTGATTTTAGTTTGATCTCCTTTGATTGACTCTTATCTTGCTTGTTTACTTTCGTTTTTTGATGGGTATTACACCAATAATCAAATCATATTTAGGTTAAGAAGTCATTTTTTGTCTTGGCTGTTGGAATCATTTGAGTTAACTAGTAACTACGCTCATTTGTGGTGATCCTCCTTATTATTTGAATATTAGATTTTTATTATTCATGTTCTAAATTTGATTAATCAACCTCATTGTCTGTATATTTTTATATCTTCCTTGGGGTATTGTGTTGGTAAATATATGAACTCTTAGTGGCATCTCAATTCCATCAATAACTTTTGTTCGTTTGTCCTCTTTTGGCATTTTGCTTCAATTAGATATGCATTTGGAAATGACTCAGCCAAGGCTATTCAAACATTCAACTTCATGGAGAAGTTCAGAATGACCCCTGATAATGAAGCATTCCATGCTTTTCTGCATGCACTTTGTAAGCATGGGCACATTGAAGAGGCTGAAGAGTTTATGCTTCTGAATAAGAAGCTCTTCCCTCTTGAGACCGAGAGTTTTAACATTATTCTGAATGGGTGGTGTAACATTTCCGTAGATATACTTGAAGCGAAAAGAGTTTGGAGAGAAATGTCGAACTATTGTATAACACCAGATGCTACCTCATATAGCCACATGATTTCTTGCTTTTCAAAGACAGGAAATCTTTTTGACTCGCTCAGACTTTATGATGGGATGAAGAAAAGGGGTTGGGTCCCTGCGATGGAGGTTTATAATTCTTTAGTTTATGTTTTGACTCGTGAAAATTGCTTGAAGGAAGCTCTGAAAATGATAGATGAGATGAAAGAAGGTGGCTTGCAGCCAGATTCTGCCACCTTTAACTCAATGTTACTCCCTCTTTGCAAAGCAAGAAAACTAGTACATGCAAGACTGTTATTAAATACAATGGTAGAGGAGAATCTTAGACCGACGATTGAAACCTTCCACGCATTTCTTGAGGGAACAGATTATCAAGGGACATTGGAATTTCTTATTAGGATGCAAAGTGATAGTTTAGGGCCTAATGAGGACTCCTTTCTTTTAATTCTTGAGAAATTCTTTAAGTGGGAGCAACCTGTAAATGCATTAAAAATTTGGCAGGAAATGAAAACTTTTGAAGTACTGCCCAGCTGTATGCACTACAGAAGAATGGTTGAAGGGCTTGCGACTTGCGGGTGGCTAGTTAAGGCCCGGGAATTTCACAAGGAGATGATATCAAACGGATTTTTGGAAGATCCAAGGCTAAAGAAGCTCTTGCTGGAAGAAGTGTTTGATAGTAGCGACAAAGGTAGACAGCATGTTAAAGTGACCAAGAGCGGTAGAAGCAAAAGCAAGATGAAACAAAAGTATCCATGAGAGGCTCAAGAAGGAACACAATCTCACAAAAGCTGCCGAGGTTTATCTTGCTAGCCAATCTTCGACTGTAATGAATGCCATAAGATCAAGTGCCCATATTGGTCAATAATATGGTGCTGCTGCTTTGCAACAGGTTCTCACTATCGAGGTACATCTGTAGCAGCGCAATTTTTTGCCCCTTTATAATTGGGCAATTCTTGCATGCATCATGTCCATGCATCCAATGGGTGAGATTGTGTCTGCAGATGAAGAGCTCACACCAAGACCCAGACGCAATAAATTTTCCCACCTGTCCCAATCTTTGATTATTTTGGTTTCCATAACAAGAGCATATTTACTGAAGACATGGGATAGATTTTTTAAGAGAGGCTGCTGTTGTATATTTGGCATCTTTCAATTATGGATGATATGAATATAGATCCGATCTCATCAGGACATTCTCGTTATGAAATTTTCACCCTTCTGGCTCATTGCAGTTGGTTCTTTTTATTATGCTTTCACCTTTAGGTCATCCAAAGTAAAGCTGGTCTTTCAATCTTGAGGGAAAGTTGGGTATTTTTCCTTAGAAATGAGCGCTTGTTATACTAAACTAAGTGTGCCATTGGATTAAAAAATTTACAATTGAAGTTAGGATTTAATTGAGATTAAAAAAAATCAGTGAATATAATGTAATTTATAGTTGGATATGTATATATATATATATTGGTAAAAGTTAATTAGATAAGTTAAAATTTGTTTTGATGATTTAAGGTATAGGTCACTTGAAATTTTCAATGATCAAAATAAACATGAATTTTTTAATATATTTTTAGATATATAAAATAATAAGAACTTGATTTCAAAATTCATTTCTCACTTGCATCCTGAGCCTTCTCTCACCATTCTCATTGTCTTTGATTTCATTATTGTGACCCTCTCTTCTCTTTCACACAATATCACCTTCATCTTCTCCCTCCCTCAGCTTCACGACTCTCCTTTCCTCCCTCATGGCAGTGATCACCCTTTTCTTCTCCGTGCTACCATGAAAGATGCATGAGGTTGGGGGGCCCTAACTTAAGTTAAAAAATTTTATCAATCCAACAATATTTTTTGAGCTTTTTAGTTTCTAACTTCAGTTTGACTCATTCTAACTAAGGTTAAAAATTGATCCAAATATGCTATAAGTGTATGTTTGAATTAAAAAATTTATAAAAAATTTATAACTGAGGTTAGAGGAAAAGTCAATTGATGTAATATGATTTATGTTTGGATGTATTTTTTTAAAAGTCAATTGAATAAATTAAAATTTGTTTGAATGATTTGATTATTAAAAAGTTAGAAATAAATGTAATTTTTTTTGTATTTATACTTTTGATTAATTAATAGGTAAAAATAATCAACTTAAATTTACAATTAATAAGTAAAAAATTTTAAATATTCAATAATGAAAAGCTAAAAATAAATTCATAAATTACAAAATATTTAATTGACATGATTCACAAGTTGATCTCTAATTATATCACGAGCATAATACATCTACTTTAATGATCTGAATAGATTTGACAATAATATTTTACCAGTATCAATATCTTGCTCATGAAATTGTTTTATGATAGTTAAAATTTATTAGATAATTATTTGAAAGAGAATTTACGAAAATGAGTTAAGTTTTAAATATATAGTACCTAGTCATGATTTTTTTTAAATAAAAATTGGGTATTAGTAATAGTAATAGTAATAAGGTTACATAGGATTAAAAAATAATTTGTTTTCCCACTTAAAAAGCTTTTTAATCATCTAAATATTGAGATTTATCTTTACAAGTGAAGTTTACTCCTTTGGATTTTATGGGGGCATTGAGAAATGATAGAAAATTATAAAAAGATGATTTCATTATTTATGAAATCATGAAATATTATTGTTAAAATTATATAGGAATTATATATTAAAAAAAGTAAATTAAGAAAAGAAAATTAAAAAAAGAAGAAGAAGAAGTCGAAAAAATGGCGGGACCCACTTGTTACATTTCCCCCCTCCCTTCCCATTTCATTTCACTATCCTCATTGCCTCATCTTCTAGCATGCGTGATAGCTTTGTTCTTTCATTAGGAGTTTTCAAGATCTTTTATGTTTCATTTTGATGAAGGAGGTGGAGGTCGAGAACCATACTTCAAAGCAGGGACACTCTAGATGAAGGGGAAGGGATGATAGCACTACAACTCAGGACGAGCAATACACAAGGTGGAGATTGGCTATCGGCAGCAGCAACGACTGTGATCTCTCGTTAGATCTAGCAGACGTGGGAGAGTGAAGGGCGAGCCAGAGCAGCCATGCGAACGGCAATGAAGAAAGAGGCTTGGGACAACATGCTTGGGTAGATAGCAAATAAAGAAGAGAGAGAATAAAAATTTAAAAAACATTAAGCTCTTAATATTCATCCACTCGAATGCCCAATGCTATTGAAAAAGTTTGGTGGATAAAGTTTGTTAAAAACGTTGCTTTGGATCTTAATTATGATTTTTTTTTTTATTCAAACATGATAAATTGAACTTTTAATATACTCACTTAAGTTTGAGCTATCTCAACTTAAATTAGATTTAATCCATATGCACTAAAAATTATCACTATTGAAGTATTAGGTTTTTTTTTTCCCTTATCAATCAAGGTCAGTCACACTGGACTACTAGTGTTCTTTTGGGCTTTGTACATTAAATTTTGTCCACTCTCACAATCACATGCAAGACATATAATGAAAGTTAATAGGGAAAGAGATACGTTTAGTTACAAAACTGGAGGACATTACAAGTGATGAATGACTTTTTTTTTCATCTTGTTATCAAAAGCTGATGATATTTTCTTATCTTTAAAATCAAAACAGCAATATGCTTTCCTGGTTAGCGCCTGTTAAATCGTGAGAATTTTTTCCCCCCAAAATAGCGATAAAAAAAATAAATGAAAGTAAACCGTTGATGTGCATGTGTAACCTAAGAACGCATACACATACAACATAAAATCGTGAGAATTTGTTGAGACTTGAGAGAAATTGAAAAAAAAAAAAAACAATTTCTACCAGATACTTCCTTGTGCTTCATGGCTTTCTTTGTGGCTAACTCCTTGCTTTCTTCCATTTAATAATAACATTAGACATTGGGAGAATCTTAATAAATGGCCTTTGACCAAATTTATTTACATTTAAAATTTTTAAATTTTTAAAATTTTACTGCAGTTTATAGAAATTGATTTGACATTAAATTAGATAAATGATAAAATTGCCCCTCCTTTAAATTAATATCATAATTTCTTTACTTTACTTATTCGTTACCCTTTTTTATTTGCTCATTTACTTACATAATATTATTAATTATTCTACTTAATTTATTTTTATTTTAGGTGTTTAAATCATCTTAAAATAACTTATTGATTTCTATATTGTATATTGTTGATTTACTTATGGACTATTATTAATTGCCCTACTTCATTTATTTATTATTAGACTTTCATTGGATTTTATTTTAAGAAAATAAATAAGTGAAGTAGGTAATCAACAATATTCAATAAATAAATAGATAAATGAAGTATGACAGTCTTAATATTAATTTAAATAAAGAGTAATTTTATTATTTTTTTAATAAATTTAATATCAAATTAATGCGAATGAGATTTCAAAAATTTAAAAACTTTAAATGTAATTAAATATAGTTAAAGAATTTTATTGAAATTATCCCTTAGACATTTAATTAATAGTGTAGTGTATGTCAATAAAATAATGAGGCTGGTTCGAAACTAGGTGCAGCCACCAGGATTGGACCGTTTGGTTGCGTAAGCCATGAACTCACGAATTGACGCTTTTTGTCCATTTTTATTTGATTGATTACGTTTTGTTTGACTGTTTGAAATTGCAAAATATAGGTTATTTCAGGAACGATTCACTATTTTTCTTTGTCTTCGTAAACGCTGGTCAATGCAGACAATAGAACAGAGCTTTATCAAAATTCAAAACCAAGACAATTATTAAAATAAGCTGGCTCAAGTTGGACACAGCTCTTGCATTGATCCATTTAGAACTTTACACTACCGTCCATCTCAATGTTGTTTTATGTTTGTTTTATATAATATTCTTAGGACTAAAAACCCAAATTAATCTCGTTTGATTTGGGCTGTTTATATGTATTTCAATTTAGTTTAATGAATTTGATTTTTTTCCAAAAATAAAAAGAAATTTCTCCATTTTCCCAGCTAAACTATCACATGATGCATGTGATTTTGTACAATATTCAATAAAAATTATCTAAAAATGAATAGAATTTAAAAAATAAAATACTTTAATAAAAAGAGAAAAAGTTTCATGTAAAAGTTCAATATATTTATATTATTAAAAAGTCACACGAGATATTTCAACAGAGATTATGATTGTATTAGTATAACTAAATACTTGTGTCAAATACAAGGAGCCAAAAGTAGCTTTACTAAAAGCCATCACTGACAGAAATTATATCTTTAATTTATTAACTCCAATTATTCTTAAAAGCTAAGATCCTTTCCAAACTGGTACAAAAGCAACATTAATGGCTATGTAATAAGCAGGTTTATGCAACAGAATATTGCAAACACAACGATCCCAAACACTAGCTCAATGACATGCACGCAGAAACACTGGACTGATGACGTGGCACTCCATCAAACATTTTGAGCTCCAGAGGAAAGTACTACACAAGTTGTAGAGATGATCTAAGAGGAAGGTTTCATTTCAGCTTTAATGGCAGCAACTAGATGATCATAAGCTACTCCCCATGCATTCTTCATGTCCGGCGACCACATTTCTGGTACTGCTTCTTTTATGGTTTCCACAAGTGCAAACTTTGTAACCTTAGCAACACCAAACAAGATTAGGTTATACATTAATCTAGTAGTAAAGAACTCCTAATCATTCTATATTGACGCCTGGATAAGTAGATTCTTGGGTTAGGTTAGTATAGTCTGTTTCTATCATCAACAAGATGCAAGCATAAGTGAATTCTTATATGTTTAGATTTTAGTCTACATGTCATTGGTATAAATTTCTTTATTATGTTGAAGACTTTAATAGCAATCATCTGAAAAACTTCGTCTCTACTTTAACCATGTCAACTTTTCTGATACCTCAAAATGCTCATTCACGACACCGGTTTTGAAATGGAGAGCACCTAATCTTTTCAAGGTTGAATCTCTCACTGTGACTTTACCAGCCTTTCGAAGCTGAACTGCTGATTCACACGTCTGCAATAAAATATCCGAAAAGATAATATATATATATATATCAGAAGACAACGTATAAAATCTGAATGGTGCTAAAGCTGTGATGGGTTATATATGTGAAAAACAGAGTAAGCTTACCATGACAAAGACATTCATAGCATGAGGCTTGAGCTTCGGGTTTTGTTCCAGAGGGACTTTCGAATCTCTCAAGAAGGAGAACAATTTCTGAGCCGACGGGGCAATCTCAAATATTCTGAAATAATAATTAAAAAAATAATCGTGTGATAAAAAAGGCAGAGAAAGATGAAGTCGGAATCAACAAGAGGATTCAGAAAAGGAGATTTCCTACTTCAAGAAAAGCTTGAGACCCAGCTCTGCAGAATTCTTCTTCATTACTTCCCATGACTTCACAACGAGAGCTTCTTGCTCCTGGGTGAAACAAATTGATCCCTCGGATTCGCCCATGTTGGCAAGTAATAGCAGGATTTGGTGATGTCGAGAAATTATGGTTTGGTTAGTGGGGTGAGGATTGCTGTGAGATTTATAAGGAAGAAGAAAGTGTCCCTTGAGGGTAATGGGGAGCCATTAAGCTTTGATTAGGTCCATTAATAAAAAGTTAAAACATGCCAAAATCAAAGGAACTCACATACTTTGCCAGCAACGTCGCGTCAGGGAAAAGAAGCGGTGACCCGTAAGTGGGAAATTTGAGAAGATTTTTTTTTTAATATTATTTATATATATTTATGTAGAAAAGGTGGGTTCCAAACCAGGTGCCGCTGGCGGCAAGACAAAACCAGGATCGTACCGATATGCCACGTCGGCGGATTGGATCGTTGACTCTGGGTTGCGTCAGCCAGGAAGTGGCAAATTGATGTTTCTGTCTGATTTCACCTGACCTGCTTCACTTGATGACCGTGTTCCTTTCAGAGAAATTCTTGCACGACCACACGTTGCGCCTTTCGGTCAGTTCAATAAAAAACATGCCAAATTATTTTTGATAATTTTATTTTTTGAACTTCTTTTCTTCTCTTTTCTTTTTCTATTATTATTAATAAAAAATTTATATTTATAATTATATAATATGACACATTTTTAATTAATAAACTGTAAATGACATTATGTATTTGGCCTTTGCCAAAAAAATTTTTCTTTTAAAATTAATTAATTCTCATAAAACTTTCATAGTGACTTCGTTTCATGCCTCATTTTTTAAGAATTTCAAGTGATTCTAGCAATATTTATTTGATAAATATATTTATTTAATTTATTATAATTCAATTCCTCCACCTTCCTTTACTTGATTTTTTTGGGGTGGCCAACATTTTTGAGTATTTATGTTCTTTCTTTCACTTGGACATGACTATGTGATTACATTTAATTAGATTTTAGTATTTTTCAAGTTTAAATCTTGTATTTAAGCGAACATAATATATTCTATTAAGAACGTCAATTGACTGACTTTTTCTGTCACAGTGTGCAATAAGCATGACTGTTTATGAGAATACGTCGGCAGAAGGGGAAAAGAATTATATTTAGGTCCCTCACAATACATTGTTTTCAAAAATGAATTAGACTGATCAGTTGGATTGTGTTGAGAAAACCATTTCTATGGATTGAAGTTGGGTTAGGTTAAGTCAAAATTGAGTAACTATTGAGCTAAAAAATGACTTGGAAACTAGAACAATTTTCACAAGATGGGACGGATCTAAACTTAATATAAAATGCTAAGAATTTACAAAACTTGAAAAATTCATAAATTAAACCATATTGCTTATATACATAATATACATTTAACAATATTTTTTATTTAATTTTTGTTTGATTAACTAATTAGATCATAAAAACCAAGACTAGTTGACTTTTCCAACTTAATTTCCAGTTTAGTTTGAAGACATTGTCACAAAACTAACGTGGAGGACTGGGAATAATTTTATTTACAAATTTATTTAAATTTTTATTTTAAATACTAAACGATTACTGAATCCATTACAATTTTTTTTGGCCAACGACTCCTAAATCCATATATTCTCATGCAAATTGTCATAAAAAATAAACACAATATTTGGTAAAAAAAAAAAAATCGCCACATCGTTTTTATTTTCAAGTATAAATTCAAAATCTTATAAATTATTACCACAATTTAGTTACTTTTAGTCATCATCTTTATTGATTTATCTTTTCCCCTTGGTTATCAATACGTGAGAGATACTAGGTCGACAATGACAACGGGAAAAAAAAAAAGAAAATTCACTTGAAAAAAATCTACTACCACACTAATTGACCATGAAAAATATACAACCCTTGATCTCACTTCCCTCAGACAATCAAGACCTTGCGGCTAAATATAAACCACCAAGAATCATGACAACTACATGCCACTGAACAAAGGTATGAACAACAGTAGAGTGGGAATAAATGAGAGGAGTGAAGTACAACATGAGCACTAGAGCTAACCACATCCGTAGTTTATATCTGGCTTTGCGGCAATTGCTGAAAATGGAACTTCAACTCTCTCTTTCACAACACATCGAACCTCTCCATTTTCTACAACTGGGATTCTCCCTGGCGGACATCTAGTTTTTGATCTCTCATCCTCGCTTTCCGGCTGATGAAGCAGGCCTAGAATGTTGAAGTTCGTACCTAACTTCCCCAGATTAGGTCCAAAACCAGACAAACTTAAAATGGATACCACACCAACAACAGTGAACACAGTTTTGGCTGCAGAAGTAACAAAAAATCCCAATCCTTTTCTTGCATTTTTCACCCCATCTTGAACATGATTTTGCTCTTTCTCGCTCAGACTCTTCCTTGCTTGGACCTCAGGATCAATTGGGATTAACCCGTTGCAAACAGAATTATGCATCATGGTATAGGGAGGACGGCTTGGATATGGAGGAAGAAGCAGATCATTGTTGTGCTCTACTGTTTCGCTAGCAAAGGCAGAAGCTTCTTGTATCACTTCCAGCCCCTTACCTTTATATTCCTTTAACTTATCAATTAACATTTTGCGGCTTTGCTCAATCTCAGCAAGAGCAACTTCTCTTTCGTATTGCTGCTGGTGTTGCAGAACCTGGGTATTGCAACCACAGTTAAGAGTTCTAAGTCATCAATTAAGAGTCCTAAAAACAAAGTAGAAGAGAATAATAAGGATGTTTCAACAACATGAAGATAAACCATCATTCATTCAATCATATGAACAAAGTCCACCATTATTAGACAGACAACTAATTCAAGACAACAGTTATACATCCTTGTAATGACAAGAAGCATAAAGGGCAAGACTGGAGCCATGCTAATCGTCAGTTTCAATGAGTTTCATCCGACAGGTGATGAATGAAAAATTCATTTATAATAACATGCTACAGGACTGTATCTGTGATCAAACATTAACATAAACACCAAGTTTATCTTATGCTGTCCAAAATCATCTTGACGACAAACAAGCAGTTCTGCCACCCAATTTGGTATAGCTATGGTATGGATTATCCAAAGGGATAATAAACTCTTTCTACCTAGTATAACTAGTTCAATTGTTGCTTCAAGTATATGGACACATAAATCCAGAGAGAAATAATGCGGAGCAAGCAAGTCCTTTATCATTATGGAAACAGTTTTAACACTAACACACACACACACATGATGGGAGCATCTAAAGTCTGCACAACTTTCAGGAAGATAAAAGGTCACAATTTCTGCAACTTAGACATACCAACAACGTTGTTGTTGGCATGCTAACTAAATTAAAATGGGCAACATGAGATTTTTCAATAGAGATTCTGATACATGACTGAGCCATTGTGCTGCAAAGAAAGGAGGGAGCCAAAATAGCAAAATTTGGAGAAGGATACAGGATTGAATTCCATGACCATGTAAGCACTGTAATTACACCAGCAATAAAAAAGGTTGGCGAATTTTTCTCATCTTTGCTAAAAGACGTGGAATATCATGAATTTAGACAATATCAAATATATTGCATCAATGTGAGCATCATATTTCCACTGCAATACTGTGAAGCTCAGAGATATTAATAAAGCATATATTAATCTACCCTAAAAAGATTCTTGAATGAATTTTAAGCATCACTCTATATGTAATTTCATTACAATGAAAGGCTCGAATTAGGACTTGCAGGCTCAGCTTCTCCTCCATCACTAAGTCAACAGGTTTATCATGGAGATAAATCTATTTCTAAATTGACAATATCATGACAGAGGATAATGTTTTCTTTGGAAGCAAACACTTGACAAGGCATGGCACTTCCCCCCCCCCCCCCCCAATTAACGGCACCAAGAGAATAAGATGGGATTTTATTTCTAGAACTCATGTAGCATTGGGTAATCAGTATTCCCGTGATTTGCATATTGCCATGTACTTTAATTTGTTTTTTCGGTCACAGCCATGTAATCTGGTTTAAAATAACGGCTAAGTTAGATCCTAAATTATAGGCCAGAATTCCTTATTTCTGAATGCTACTGGTACTTAATTTTCTAGAACTAGGGAAGTATACAAAATATTTCAGTAGAATGGGTAGTTTCTATTGAATGGGATCAGCAAGGTTCATAGAAGAAGCGTGGTCCCCAAGGCAGAGTACTTCAGAAATTTAGCTTTCAAGGGCAGCAGATTGCTTCAAAGGCTTTTAAGCAAAGGAAAAGCTTCGTTAGAGTTCAAGAGGGACATCCATTCCACTATATCCAGCCCTTATCCAAAGAAAAATCACAGGCCATAATCCTAACAACTAGACAGATCCTAAGACAAATAATCCGAGCTTCTGTTCTAGATAATCCTTTTCTTTACCTGTGCATCTTGAGTGGTAGAAATAATTAGTTCAGCTTATCCAACCGAGAAAAGAAACAAGAAGCATAGGAAATTAGATCGTGCAACGTCATAACATTAAAAAGAAAAGTCTCTCGCAATTAAAAAAAGGGGGGGGCTTTGAGGAAAACCTGCAAGGAAGATAACTGGTTCTCCAGGGATTCCAGCGCATCGCAGATGTTTAATAGCCTTTCCGCTTCTTCATCGTCATCGTCGTCTTCTGCGTCATTCAGTTCTTCATTCCCCTCGGGAGGTTCCGCCGATAGGAGGCCATTGGAAGGGGAGCGCAAAGTGGGGGAGGCTCTGTGGATGCAATTGCCGATCTTCAATCTAAGTTCGGTAGCTCTGGCCAACACTAACCCTATTCCCTCGCCTTCCATTTAGGGTTTATGAATTTGACCTAAAAATCACTCACTGTTTCATCGAATCATATTAATTCTCAGTTAATCGCCAAAAGACTTCTCTCCTCACTGTGTCGAGCGAATTCTAGTGATTCTGGTGATTCCCCAGCAGATAGAAAAGAAATTAGGAGCAGCAGATTCTATGTCTCTTTGTTTCACTTTCCTTGTCATCGCTTTCAATGAACAAAACAATTTGTGTTATTTGTTTTTTTTTTCACACATAATAAATGAAAAATGAAAATCACCAATTTCATCTCTTTTTTCTTTATAATTTTATTTTTAAAATAAAATATCAAAGAAAAAAAATAAAAAGAATATATATAATTCCCGTAGAAATGTTAGAATAGTGGCCCATAAGCACAATACATTATATACTTAAGAGAGAGAATAATACAAAGGGACCAAGATATGTATAAATTTATTTTGTCTCTTCTCTTATCCATATCTAAATATACAAGATGCACGCACCAATTAAATGCACAGAATTCAAATCTATTTGAGCTTGTATGTTTATTAATTTCATTTATCAAATAGCTGGATACTGCACATGTATAAATATATTATATATACACCTGTTTGACCTCTTGCATGAGATATGAATACAACTAAATATTTGATTTTTTTTTTTTGGGTCATAGTCTAAAGAAAAGAGAGAGACGCAAATGAAAATAAATAATACAAGATTTCATGGTGGTAAGCTTTCTTTAAAAAAAAATTTCAAAATACTTAGCGCTTTTTTAAAAAAATTCAAAACTAAATTAATATCAAAAGATATGATAGGAATCTTATATGTTACTGTTTGTGGACTCTACAAATATGCTATGCAGTAGAAAATAGAAAAGTTAACTGCTAATTAATAAAAGAGTTTTTTGTTTCTCAAAAACATAATTTAAAAAAAATATGTTCAACTTATCAATATAGGGTGTTTAGTACTCTTTAAACAAAACTTTTAAAATAAAATTACAACTTAACCCTTTTAATTATTAGTTTATGATTTGACTATCATTTTCATTTTATTTTTGTTTTTCTATGTCTACCTGATTTTGGTTTTGTAACAAAATTCCACAACATCAGGGGGTACCACACAAGGATTAATGACACTGATCGAAAGTAAAACATTGTAGGGGCAACTGTTTTTCAATAGTAAACGATGGATTTTACAGTTAATTAATTAAAATTAAAATTAATAATTAAAGTATTAAGGTATAAAGTACAAAGTATTAAATTTTAAAGTAGATAGATGGATAGACAGAAGTAGGTTGTGCAAAGACAAAGCCCAAGTTAAGGTTACAAAGGCCCAAGATAAAATTCCATCAGAACCAAGCCCATATGTTGTTACAAGCCTAGATCATAAAGGATTAACTCACATGTTTATTTTCCTTTTCTGCATTCTTATATTTCTTTACTGTACAGATGGCATAATATTGTTTATTCTAGGGTTACGTGCCTTATATATATATATATATGAATGAATACGCTCTGGCTACTCACGCCATTTATCCAGAAATTCTTCTTTTGTTTGTTTCCTTAATTGGTTGAAGTAAATAGATGAACTATGGCCTTTCATATCACCCTAAAATAATTTTTTTCTATTCATTTTAAATTAATTTTTAAATATTTTAAATATTATATTTACTAATATAAAAATAATAAAAAAAATTTGATATTAAATCTAAATTATCTAGAATAAATTTAGATGATATGTAAAAATTATGAAATTTTTAATATTAAATTGAATCATTCAAATTATATCTAACTTATTCAAAGCATATATAAATAGTCAACTTATAAAATTATAAAAAATTTTAATTCTAAATTAAAATTTTTAGATTAAATCTGTAGTGACCAGATTGGTAATAAAAAAAAAAGTAAGTAAAAATTTTATATTTTTTAAAATTTTTATTTTCATAAATATAAATATAAATAAAAAATTTTAAATTTGAATGATCTAGATCTCGTCATAAATGATGAGTATCATGGTTCTCATTCTTGGATGAGTATGGAAGATAGTTCAGATTTACTATCATAATTTTTTATAATTTTTATATTAATATATAATATTTAAAACATTTAAAAATTAATTAAAATGAATGGCACAGATCTTTCGAAGGGAAATAAAATTAAAAAGCCAGGATTTGGCCATGTCCTAATGAGCACTAAGTGCGAATGCACATAGATAGAAGTAGAAGGAGATAAACACATCGGGGTGGTGGTGGGATGGATGAAAGAAAACTAGGAATGAACAGCTATAATTGTGTAGACACATTTTCAATTTTGGGGATGATGTTTGGTTGCTTTTTTTTTTTTAAATAATAATTCAATAAAAGAGATGCTAACTTCCTGTGTCAATATTAAAAATTCACTTAACAAAATGATTACAGAGACTTCCAAAATTTACTTAAAGGGAACAATTTACAATTTTATGCACTCCCTCAAACTTGGAAAAGATGGGAGGCAAAGAAAACTGGAAGCATCATTACAAACTTTTCAATAATGTTCTTAAATAGACTAGGAATGACAATTGAATCATAGTCATAGGTATGCCAATCAAGCAAGACTGATGATTTACAAGCTTCACTGTTCACATATACGGCCACAAAACATTTTGGATATGTTTAGGACTTGAAGGGTAAGAGAAAAGAAGTACAGGAAAGGGAGGGATACTTATTTTCCTTCTCCTTGCTTGGGATAATTTTCTCTTCCAAAACTTTTCAAATTGGAAGAAATAGGGAGGATTTTGAAAGATTTTAAAGGTAAGGGAAATATTCTTCATCATCCTCTCCTTATTATTATAAAAAATAATTCCTAAACAAGAGATATATTGAATTCAATTTTCCCTTCCCTTTTTCTCTGTTATCTCCGGCCAAACATATCAATACGAGAGCTCGCTACCAGGCTGAGCAGTTTCACTTCAGTCATGCTTAGAGACTCGACATGTAAAAATAACTCCGGTCTTGATTCCTTTCATCAACATCAAGTCTTCTTTACCATGTCCAAGGAAGAACTTGGGATATTTTTTTTTCCATAACTAGCCTGAATTAAGATTCATCTGTCATTCCAAGCTCTAATACTAATATATACTATGACATGTGATTACCAAGCTAGCTCCTTCGAAATCAAGTAATTGAAACTGAAGTTATGAGGGATCAGCTCAACGCCTTTCCAGCTTGCCTTTGATTGAAACTCCTGAATGATTTTCCTTGGAGAATCAGGAAGGTAATTCTTGATCATATCCATCAAACTAGAAACACCAAGACGTGTGTTTTTTGCATAGAAATCAACTATCTTTGGTACGAGTATTTTCTGTTCCTTGGTCACAGCGATGGTAGACTGGATGTACTCTTCTTTCGCAGATTCAAGCTCCTCCAAGACTCTCTTGGATGTATACAAACGCACCTGAGAATGTTGCAACCAGCAGTGATTAAGAGGGATGCTGCTTCATCTAAGTAAGAATAAGCTCTACAGACAAATAGAAAATGCACCAATTAAGTGATCAAGAGCTACAAAAAGTTGCTTCTGTCTCCTTGAGTTTACGCCAAGAGAGAGAACAAATATAGATAGGCAAAAGCGTACCGCGGGATCAGAATGGCTTCCTGAACTGAGTGCAAATATCAATAAAGGTTCTGGGCGGTGTATTGCATATGCTTTTCTTGCATCTCTAACCTTAAGTTTTGCTTTTGAAGGAAACAAAATCTGCAGCCACTGCGAAGAAAAGAAAGGTGCATTATTCTCAGTTAATGTTTGCCAGAATCCTCTAGACTTCTTTGAAGTTTTTGCATGGTTTTGAGAGAAAATGACACAGAGGATAGAAGTATATATAGAATTCTTTTTCGTCCCTTTTTCCTTTTGTACTCTTCAAGAACTTCAGGGTAAATAAATCTAGAGGATTCAGACTTCATCTACTACTTTGTTTGCAATGTAAAATAATGAAAGTAAGTTTATGCGGAGGTTTCAGGTGTTCAGAGTTACTTGTCCTGGACGAGGCATTCTGCATCCCAGAATGGAGTTCTGTATAAGTTCTACGCTTACATTATGACCCCCAATGTTATATGCAGCCTGAAGACCATTGTCAACAAGTTTAATTCAGAAGGACTTCAGATCACACCAAAGGATTTTGTCAGTTTTATTGGCTGAAGATTAGGGACCAACTCACCTTAAGTACTGTAGAAATTCTTTTGGCATTATTGGCTGAAATTCCATAAACTAATAGAGCCTGTAGATGACAGACAACAATATGGTAGTTTTGTCTTCAAGACTTGGAACGAAACCTAAAATGACAATAACATTGGAGTTCCAAAACCAAATGCTTACATGCATCACTAGGGTGTTGTGCACGTTGATCCAAAAAGCTAGCTTCTCTTCATGCTCCAGGTTTCTAAGATTAACATCTTCCAACCGAGAAACAAGTGATCTGCAAGAAAGCAAGACAAAAAGGCGGATTTTCTTAGCATGTTGACATAGTTCATGAGGTGTAAATGATATGCTAATATATTTGTTGACTAATGCTAGATTCAGTTGTCCAGCTTAAACTATCAGCTAGACAAAATCCTTGAAAGATTTATAACACTAAACTAAGCATATATTAGTCTCTTGAGAGTGGATAAAGAACATCAAAATTAGATCATAATCCACTTATCAAACAATGGCTCATGATCAATCCTCAGTGCTGCATCTTAATGCTTGATGACAATGTTGATGTCTTCAAATTTCAAACTAAAGTTGTAATGGCTAGTTGCCTCGTTCAGCGAATGAATCTCTTAGGATGAAGACTTGTGGAACTTGGATCGCAAAGATCGCTCACCTAAATCTCCGTAGCATATACTCGACTTCTTTTAATTTCTCACTATCCCTGCTTAGCCTCTGAATCTTTACCATTGAGCAATAAGGTCCACTAAATTCTTTTGATCCTTTGATGCGGAAACGGCTGTTAAAGTTTAAATTGAAGGTTCGGTGCTTCTTCCTCCGAGAGGCCTGCTTGTTTCCCTGGCATTGTGAAGAAAACTCATACACTGATGATGAGAATGGAATAAAGGACGAAGCATTATCATGACCAACGAAAGGAGGGTCTGCAAGTTCGCAATATATAGCTGATATGCTCTTAACCATCTCCTCCGAAAGCCAGTTTGGTGTCTCTGGAATTATATCAGAAAAGCAATTTCCTAGATGCTCAGCGAGGGAGGTTGAACTGCAGTTATTACTCTGAGCTTGCTGATGACATATAATTTGAATAGAAACCAAATTAGAAGCACTGAATTTAAAAAGTAAGCTACAATAGTGGTCCCAAAAAGAGACCGCCACCATGAATTTAATATATCTCTTAACGTTTTAAGAAATATATATTACATATCTTGTCTGAGCATGAACTGTTGACAAAATTTAAAACATGCATAGTTGACCCAAAGATGATGATACGGAGTATATGCAATTTGAATGGGAGAATTAACAGATGAGTCCCCAAGTCAACCACTAACATTCCAAATGGGCAAATTTTGGGCCATATAGGCAACTTTGTTAGTGGAAATACAGTTGACAGATACAACTTCACTATCTATTTGATGTTCTCGGCAAAGACATTATATGATAGTGATTAACCTTTAAGGACTAAAACTGTGGCAATGGTATCTCTGAAGGACCAATAATTCAAATATAAGGAAGCAAGGATTACTCTAGCTAATTGTTGAAACTTACCTCTAGCATAGACAACGGTAGAGAATGGAAAGTGTCCAAAGCTTTGGCCTGAGAAATTTCGATGGAACAAACTGATTGCTGAGATAGGGTGGAGTGACTTCGATGAATACTTAAGTCTAAAACAGCTTCTGGTTCTAACTGTTTCTTGCATTCCTTAAGTGGAAAGCCAACTGAATTTCTGGGTGACGGGAGATTATTGCAAGGAACTGAAATCTCTTTCCCAGTGATAGTACCTTTCCTATTAACTAATGAACTTCCTTTCTTGGTGTCCGAATCTGTTTCCAATCTTCTTTCCTTGGCTGATAGAGACAAAATTTGATGATCAAATCTTTTCCGATACAGCGAGAGAAGATATTGTTCCAAGTACACTACTTCTAATTCTAACACGCCAATTTCCTTAATTAGTTCCTTGGTGGCCTAAAATTGAGAAACAAGAGGTACATGATCAAAAGAAAAATCCAGCAAAGTTGGAAGTTATTTAGAGCATCCATTTAGGTGTTCATGGGTATATACCATTGGCATCGAGTTTTCTAGTGCAGCATCTTGTGAGGAAGGCAGGTAACATGCTTTCTCTAATGCACTTCGCACCACAAATTGTTGATGCAATCGTTTTTGAAGCATTAGAATCTTCAAAGACATAAAAAACAAAGTATCAAAGAACAACAAGCCAGATGTCTGTGATAGAAAAGTATGTATAAAAATCTTTTAAAGATTCCAATTATTTTGCGTTGCAAAGCATGACTTGTGTCATGAGAAGAGAAATTTTTAAGGGCAAGGACAAGGGTTGTTAGCAAAACCTTGATGACATAACAGTTTATAGTGAAAAGAACAGATAAACGGAAAGTTAACTCTAAACCATAATAAACCATGTATTTATGAGCTTATCAGTGGCTATCTCTTATGGTGGAACTAAATCAGTTGCGAATAAGTACCTCTCGAGTCAAAGAACTCTGAAGATCGATGTTATGATATTGCCTCTTCTTGGATTCGTTGCTTTCCACAAGCTGCCTCGTTTCATTTTTTTTTTAATGGAGAAAATTAATTAATCATCGTATTAAAAAAGACAAATCTACAGCAAGTATGAGATATACCATGCTAGTGTGACAAGAACCTTCAGTCCCGTTATCCCATAATTCATCTTCCCTGACTCTTCTTTCCATAGGATCACTGTCATCCACAGTGATAAAATCTCAGGTTTATCAAGGTAAAGTGGAGCCTATAAATATGCAGTAAACAGCGAAAAGCCATCTCACAGGATAACCATTTGTGGAATGTAGATGAGGCAAGTATGGAAAATTTAACCCTCTTGTTCAAATCAAACTACTTGAGCTTAGGACCCTTCAGTAATGTATCTACTTGCAAAAAAACCACAGCGCGTGGTGTTCGTAAAAATTCCTTCTATCTTCAGTTTATTTGGTTTAAGAAGGCCACGACTTTGAAGAGAAGGTATGTAAATCAAACTCTTGAACTAAAGACACAACAGAAAATTTTCAGAGTGAAAACCTTTTAGAGCGCTTGTGACTCGTAAGTAAAATTGTCGAGTCCATGAGCTTGAATTGCTTGAATCCAGAATCGCGCCTCTTTATTTCATGCATACGGTTTTGTGTCAGAATTCGGTTTCAAATCCTCAACGCTGTCAAAGGATGCACCAAAAAATCATTAAATGCGTCATATACCACCATCAGATACTGACAAAAACGGAAGATGCATCCAAAATACATTAATTCACTGCATTACTCTGCATATTCGCTGCACAAACTACACGATCATGGAATGAGACTTCTCAAAGAGATAGAGTTTTAAAAAGCTGGAACAAGATTGGGGTATGGAAAGAAACCAAATGGGTTACAAGTTGAATCTATTTCAAACCCATACACACACCCTCTGTACTCTTTTTGAACGCGTCAGGCAAATGCTGTAATCAAAACAGAACTGCACGAACTACGAAGAGAACAACCTATGGTGCTCACAAGATTTTATTTTTGCAAAGTCGGATCTTTTGCGTTGCATTAAAAGAAGAAATTGAGGTCATAGCTTTTGAAGAATATGATATTTCAAAGTAGCACTTAGGGATAACAAAAGAAAGGAAAGGACAAGAAACAGGAAGGCAAACTGAGATATGTACAAAGCAAGGGTATTATGCTACACTGTCATCAACAATAATGCAAGCGGTCAAACACTTAACGTGCATGTATGTATAAAGGCACACCAACTTTGAAGCTTTTTTGCTGGTGAGCTTTTGCATTTGCGTAAAAAGAAGTAAATTGGTCTTGCATGAGCTTTAACTAACAGTATGTGTTAAAAGAAGAGATCTTCACCGTTTGGAATGAATGGAAGTGACAAGGTGGGTGGCAGTTCCTTCCACTCGTGCACTTGATTATTTTTCCATTCCATTCAAGAAAGCATGGGGAGCATTTTAACCTTTTACATTTGTTCACCATATACTTCGAGTCTTGAAAATCTAGTATCTGAAAAAGCCTAATCTTTTGAAATGGGTTCTTTTTCTTGACTTGACGCTCAACCACGCACGGACAAATATTGTACTCTTATCATTTTAGAAAAGACGCCGAATGTTTCCAAGGGTTGCCTGAAACTATTTTTTCTTGCTTAAAGATCTGATAGTTGTGCTCCTTCATGTATATTATTAATATTATGTCCCATAGGCCATATCAGATAATTACCAGCACTTGAACGATAATACTTAAACCTTGAAATTCTCCGACCATAGTGATGTCTTGAAATTTACGCTCCTCTTTGATCAACTTGTAAAAATTAACACTTTTATTGATAATCAAGGCGCTAGTTACATACTATCAAGTTTTGCAAAAATAACTACAAAGCCTCTTTTTGTGAATAAAAATTTAGGTGAATCAAGTTTAGATTAGATTCATCAAGATTAGAGTAAGACTTACCGTCAAAAAATATTAACTAAAGTATACAATTATAAATTTGAAGATTCCAGATCAAGTGCAATCATTAAATCAAAAGTTATAACTATTAATCAAGGTATAACTCCATTTCCTTAAGCCTTTATGAAAGGTTGCATCAATTCCAAATGCCATGGGTTGAAATGTTAAGTCTATCAAATTATAAGAGAGCTGTTAGCCAAAACTTCTCGAAAGTAAGATCAATTAATGAAATCCTCATATTAATAGTGAGATTTAAACTCTTATCTTTATAGAAATGAGTTACATTCTTATACTACTTGATTCCCCTTTTTTAGCAAATAGTAAGCCTCCGTTAGGTTGTTACCTTCAACTTCCAAAAAATGACTTTAACTTTCAAAACCATCGCTCATATTTTCTAAGGCTACACGTCCTAATGTTTTCCATGTTATAAAGATGTTTTGAATTTATTTTTTCTAGATTTGAAGAAACATGAACAGTTTTGATTGTTATTAATAATAAAAATTGTAGACTCGTGATGATATTTGTGAAGTTTATATCCCTTGGGTGAATGAACTTGGAAAAATTCCAAATGTTAAGACAAGACAAACAAAGTTCATCTACTGATTAGACTGCAAAAACTGTTTGGGAGCAACTTTTAATCACCAACTCTAAACGACTGATTATTCAATCTTGATTTTGGTGAAATTTGGTGGGAAAATGGGGCCCTGGCAGGAAGGAGAATGAAATGGTTAATGGTGATGAAAGGAAGAGGGGAAGGCGCACTTGAAGAAAAAAGCAAACCTCAAAAGGGCTGAAAGGTGATTGTCAAACGAACAGCCAATCCACATTTCTTTGACATGAAATCACTGCTTTTGGTGGGCTGTCTTTTTTGTCAACTTTCTCTCCGAAACTTGGATGCACCTAATTCTGCATGTTGGGGCTTACTCAATTTCTTCGCTCAGAGAAAAAAAAGTGGCTTGCCTTTTCTCATTGGATAAGCTGCTCCACATCAGGGGTGGAGTTCAATGAAAGAGAGTTGATAATAAGCAAGATTAAGAGATTAATTTTGTGAATAAAAAGAACAGGAAATATATCAACCCTTCGTTTGAAATGGAAAGAAAATAGAAAAGAAAACTAGAAATAAAAAGTAAACTTCTTGCTTTGGCTAGCCTCCTCTGTGAGAAAAAAGAAAAAAAAAGTAGAAATAAAAATACATTTTTCCTTTCTGACATAAAGTTTTTCTTTTAATTCTCTCTCTCTCTCTCTCTCTCTTTGTGAAAATTAGAAAAAATAAGGATAAATAAAAGTATTTTTTTCTCTATTTTTTAATTTTATCTTTTTCCTTGTTTTTTTTCTCATTCCAAACAGAAGCAACACTCTATTTTAATACAATAGTATTCAAATATGAATGAACTAAAATTTTGGTGTCCAAATTGTAGCTGAAATTATCATGAGCTAATGACAAAGCAATACACTAACTTATAAATTTTTACAGTATCTTGTAATATGGTTGGACTATATGTTTAGTTGGTATATTTGATTATTTAAATCCTTGTGTTATGATTAATTGATTAAAAGAAAAGTACTTCATTTTGAAACTAAGGATAATACAATTTAATGATGTTATTAGGTTGAATGGAAAGAACTTTACATCCTTAAAACTAAGGTGTTTAAACCAGCATTTTCTTTCCTCAATAGACGTTCATGCATTGAAAGTATAAGTGCAAACACCAAAACAAACATGCCTTAAATATTTAATTACCCCCATATGATTTAGTAAAAAGAATTACATTGAAAGAACTATTCTATTTAAGATTTATGAATGTTCAAATCAAAATTGAAAGGATGGTTTGTAGAAAAATGAAATTGTAACTTACTAATTATGACATTATGACCTCACCTCTATGTCATTATCACATATTCTCTTTTTTTTTTTGGGCTGTACTATCAATATCATCTATATTCTCTTGAAGAACAGTGCTTTTTCTGTTTTTCATTACTCACCAATGTATATATTCACTTTTATTGTAATTTCCTCTTGTTATTGTTGTTACTATTTCTTGGTGACCATTGCTATGTAGCTTCCATATTTCAACTGCTTGCAATAGAAGTTAAAACCAATAATGCATCTGGTAACTTCTAAAACAGACAATATTATAATATTCCATGAAGTGTCTTCTTCTAGATAGTTTGGTAAGAGGGTTAGGGTCAAGTTTGAAAACCAAGCACTTGTGTTCTCAATTTCTCATCGAGAAACCACAAAAAGATGCTTCAGATTCTCAAACCAAGTCATCAATAGCATTAATTTCCCAGAAGAAACTGACAGACATACTTGTGGGTTTATTAATAAAAACCAGATCATGAAACAAACCCCTTCTGTGTTCCAGAACCAACAAAAATTCTGCAGACTCCAAAACCTCTGAATCAGTGCAAAACATTGTTATTACTACAAGGAGCTGGGCTTAGGCCGTAGCGTTACGGTAAAAAATTACTGGAGGGTCAAACAACAAAACAAAACATGTCAGAAACTTTTCGAAGAAAACATATAATAGAAGCATCTTGAAGTTTGGTTCAATCACAGAGATCAACAGAAAAGGTCATGGAAGAAATCGTATTTGTGATGGGTTTTTTTTAAGAGTACTGTCCTTAGTGGAACCTTCCTTTATAATGGCCTCTAAGATTATCAGATCGAAGCTTATTTCAATAAGGAAACATCGAATCTTTCCATTGAGATCAGTGAGACATGGAAAACGGAGAAGAGAGAGACTTTAAAACACGAGCGTGAAAGTGTAGTCAATGCTAATGATAAGAACCTAGAACAGCATCTTCTGCAATTTGGGTTTTTTAAATGGATAATATAGGTATAGCATTTTAATAAATAAATATATGAGTTTTTTGAACAACATAAACATTTCCTTTTTCATTGTAAAAAAAAATCGGAATCTGTGAAGAACAAGCTAATTCTTATCTAGATTAAGCTGTGAGGGATGCATCGTTGGATACTACTACTCTGCTTGTAAATTTTGAAAATATTATAGGTATTGTTTGTGGACGACTATAAATTTAAAAATAAGTAACGCTCTTCAGATGAATTCTTAATACATTTAATCACTACTATTGATGGGAACCAAATAGAATAAAGAACAGGAAATAAAACTCGAACATATGAGTGCATAGATTCACAGATTACTAACTTCTCTCTTGTTCGAATTCTAACTTCATTCTCAAGAAAAGGGCTTTTACAACTTCTAAGAAAATAAGGAAAATTACCTCTAATGATCAAAATCTGACAAATTGTTAAAATATCATATAAACAATTATACTTTGTTCCAATGATAATAAGATATTATCAAATTTTGATAATATTATATTTTATAAAATTTAAATTGCACGCCCTTATTTTTTATTATCCATTTGCTATTTATTGATGTCATATTTTTTAAATAGAAAGATGGTAAATTAAAAACTTTCTTTAGGTTACATGTTTTATTAGAAAAAATTGAGAATTTCACTTCATTTCAAGTATTCTAAAAGTTTGGGAAATTTATTGACAATTCTTTTTAAAACATACTACTAAAATTAGTTAAAACTGTAACTTTTATTAAACTTAATCACGACGTTTTTTGGGAAAAAAATTATAGTAAATTTTTAAAAGTTGACAATAAATTTTCATGTTTGAAATTTAAAAACTTTCAAGACTTTTTGACATAATTTTTATTAAATATAAGTTTGAACTAACCTTTTGAATTTCTCATGCAAGGTAAATTCCATTTCAAGTGTTTCAACCTTGCAAGAAGACTGATACACAGAGTGACTTCCAAGGGACCACGTTGGAGCGCAAAATCACTTTAATTAGGGTTATCAATAATGTTGAAAAAATGATCCTGCTCCCTCAAACACACGCACAATGTGGTTGATAATCCCTCGTTTCTCTGATGATATTGATTTCTCTTCAATCATGTTTCAATGGTTTTATTCATTTTTCCTTTCATCATTTTCATTGGGAACGTGGAGCTTCATATTATGGCTTTGTTTAGCTCAAACAGAAAAACTCTTTACAAAACCATAATTTCGTCAATTGATTATGCGAATCTTGAAAGAATCTCATCAGATTCCAATGCAAACATAGCCCCTAAAACCACACACCATATTATCTACTCCTTGATTGTCTTACTTTAAGCTTTAATTTTTAAGAAGGCGTTGTCTGTGTCTGCTTCTCATCTTATGATAATTGCATAAAATTTTACTTGAAACCATGTATGCAACTAAATTCATGATCGACTCAGCTCATCCAGAGCAGACATGACTCTCGAATGCCATGGGAACATCATAATACAGAAAATGACTCCCCATTTCCAGTTCATAGTCTGATGACAAATAATTCGAAAGTCAAATTGAAATAAATGGGGCGAACCTGATCCAGATCCGTAACTATGGACATGGAGACAGATGTTTCGAATAAATTTACTGGTCAACATGCTCCAATCAAAATGAGCTTCATTCAATATAAACTAGTGTTTATTTTTTGCCCTTAAAGTGCATAACTCTGTGAGATGAGTATGCTGTACCAACCATACCTTCGAATCAGCTGTACACTGCTACGGGACAGCTCATCCTAGATCTTCAGCGGAAGAAATAAGGAGAACATATGAAAAATAAGCTTTCTGCAAATTATACAACTTAGGTTTGCATAAGATTGCGTTGGAAGGCACAACTATACAACTCATTAATTCAATCAGACACAATCACCAAAACTCGTTAAAAATAAAGTAATTGAGATTTTAGTGGACCCACTAAGCAGAAGATAAATTGACAGCAAAAAAGATCTATACGTCTCATAATAATTAGATCGGCCTGCAAAATTTATGCAGAATAAGACGTAGAATCTTCTGTACTAATAAGCTGCAACTGAGTCTACAGATGTTAGGGTTAATTGTGCAGTTGTGCACATCCGTAACTCACCAATTTTGACGTTAGGGATAGGCAAAGGCGCCTGTTGAGAACCAAACTCTTCCCAAATCATATGCAACTCCTAATGTCATCATTGAGAAGTCCATGACTCTACTAGAAGCAATAAAAGGAGAAGCTTCCCTCTCCAACTTGCATCTGCGTCAACTGCGTCCAAATGCTAAAGCAGACGTTAAGGGAAAAATAAGAACTCACACCTCTGTACATCACACATGTATGTAATTCCAGTACTCTGTATATGCTCATCAGGCAAGGTAAAGGGGAGTGAAATGAACAGGAGAATGCACTGTACTTGACATGATTTGTTCAATGAATCAGCTCTTTCTTTTTCAAGACAAGGAAGAACCACGCACCCATCTTCGGTCATTAAATTCAAAATTTCAGCAATTCAAAGCAAAATGGCAACTAATGAGTCATAAGAAAATGGATTCATAAGAAAATTACTAGAGTGAACTACATTAACAAGAACGCTGGAGTTTGTACTCAAGGATGCTGGATTCAATCACGAGAAGAAGGTTTACATTTCTATTAGCCATATGTGCCCAAAGGGCCATATATACAATGCTAACATTTGGCACCAATATACGAGAGACAGGAATAAATAATTTCAAATTTTTTCTGAATATATCTCAGACAAGAAATATCCAAAAGTAAGATATAAAGCAAAGTAAACTAGCTGCCAGATATCCAAAATGATTGATTCCATCAAAGACAAGCAATTTGGTTAGACCTGTACACTTGTATTTATATAAGGTCTCCATCAGAGTCAATTTCTGTCTACAACCTCCGCTGGCAAGTTTAGATCAAAAAGGACACCACCAGCACCTTCTTTCCTAGCACGCTTATGAGAAGGACATCCAATATCATCTGAACTCCCAGACCCAGAGGGCCGATCGAGTTCTGCTGTTCCACCTATGCTTGCAAAAACACAAGAATCATTTTTAAGTAACATTTGGGATGAGTAACCACGAAGCCAAATTGTAGGAAACTAAATAATATGACAATTACAATGAGAATAAGCTATCCCTCAAAGCATCTATTAGTTAACATTATTTTAATTTACAACAAAAACAAATTAACACCATATTTTGTACTAGCATTCTTTTCAAGTAACAACAATAACAAGAAGCCTAATTCCATTAAGTAGGGTTGGTTACATAGATTGTACGACGCCATTGTACTCTATTATTCTTTCCAAGTAAACTGAAAGAAATTAATACTTAATATTTTTGTCCAACAATAATATTAAACAACACAATTGAGAGCCCCAATAAGCACTAAAAGCCTAATGTTTATTCATCTGTGAAGTTACCCCTTAATATTTGAAAAACATTTTCCTACAAGTGAAGTCAACTTTGAAATTTCCTAGAGAAAAATAAAAGGAAGGTTATTCCAGTGAGGGCAAGCAAAACAAAATTGCCTTGTTCCCCAACCCATAAACTCTTCCCCCAGACATTGGCAAATTTAGCCAATGGCCTTCTAGCCTAGTGGCACTATGTTCCCCCCACTAGTGGGTGGTTGTTGGTTTGACCCCACCTGCTTTCAGGTCATTTCAGCCTGTTCTTTGTACTTTAAAAACACTTGCAAATTTATGCTTGAATATACATGCATGTAAAACTATACAAAACAGATGTTTCAATTTGACAGAAAGGCACGGTTACTAAGAATCCATAGTAGACACAACATTATAGCATGCAAGAATTCATAAAAAAGACTACTGAATCAATAGCATGGATGCAATACAGTTCAATAACTCCATCTTGCAGCTCAAATGGCACCCCACACTTTCCTTAACTGAAGAGGTTGTGGAATCAAACCCCCAATTGGTGTAGGGGCAATTTATATATGGAGTGTGTGTGTGTGAGTCACCCTTCCCTATAGGGAAGGGTCGGGGTAGGTGTATGTGAAATATTTACCAGTAGTATTGGCTTTATAGTTCCAACAAGTTGAAAGTTCTGATGCCCTCTCTATGCCCTTTGACTTGTATGGAGCAATACTGTGAATGCCCAATTGAAGAGAACCCAATAAATCATTCTCAATGCACTCATACCTGCATAAATGATTGAAAATTCCCAATCATCAGGGTCAGGAAAAAAATAAGCAAAAAAAAAAAGATTCTTCAAGTAATCACTCACATTTTCTGGCACAGATTGTCAATAATGGTGGACAGGTTAATGACTTGAATCCTTAGCTCCATAACTTTATCATCTGTAAACTGGTCAAAGGGTTCCTCCAGAATTTTGGAAAGCTTTTCAACATTGGACTCAAGCTGTTGCTGCTGATCCTCAAATAAGTGTTGTTTTATTTCCCTTTGCTCTTCTGACATTTCATCCTTAAATAGCTCATCTCCAAACATATAAAATGCAAATGGATATGAATATGACAGGACACGCCTAGATCTGAAAAGTCTGGAGAGTCCATTATTTACCCAACTATAATCTCTGAGCGTAGAATCCCTCTCCTCTGAAATAGCAACCTTGCTTTGTATAGTCTCTTTCAATTTACTTTCAAGTTTAAAAGAGTCTGTGTGAGCTTTATAGCGATTATGATAATGCATGTATCGATATAGATCTCGCTTTGCCCGTTCAGCTGTTTTCTCTAGCTGTTTGTAGCGACCACAGCTATGACCAGCTATACTTGACCAAGTGTGTTCTCGTCCAGTAGCTCCACCACAAAGCCAACTGCACCAAACAGGGGAAATTTTGTGAAAACATGACTTATGATTCCAAATATTTACAAATGACTGAGATTGTAAGTTAAATTACAAACTGCAGAGAAGGAGGAAGATGGCAGGGAAAGGGAATGCTTACCAAAATGCTTGACCACAGATACAGCTAACCAAGTTGCAACCACCATTCTTCTCCACTGGTTTGTGGCATTTTGGACAAGGTTTTGTATGAACTGCTATCCAATTAACAGTTTCCGATTCATCTCGACACTTCTTAGCCCAGAGCTCCCACATCAAACAAGAACATGGGGAATGTGTCTCTGACAAGCAACTAAAACAGAACTGTAGGCCACATGAACATTCTACCTCACATAATTCATCATCCTCAACACGAATTGCATTCCCACAATGAGGAATGCTGGGACACCATTTGACTCTTTTATTGTCTTCAATGTAGGATTCAAGAAGAAAACGATCAAATTTCTCTGCCACATCAGGGTCCTTTTTACTGACAAGAGTTCTCACAACAGCTTCATCACAAATAGCATTACATCTGTGTGCCATGCACCTTATACGCTTACTTTGACCCTCATTTATCTTGACAATAAAGTGCTCTGTCCAACCTGTAAAGTAGATATGAAAATGAAAAACAACTAAAAATGAAGTTTGTATGATTTTCCATTGCTGTGCAAAATGATAATATAATTAGAAAAATTTTAATGCTTTAATACTGTCTTAAAAATAAAGCAAGTTCAACATGTAGCTATAATTATGATATCAAAAGGCAGACACAGAACATAAATTAAATTCACCATCAGCCTTGAGATCCATGTAACAGCTGATTATATTGTTTACAAAAGATTTGTAAGGGTGATGTACAGAAAAACGCACGCACACATAAACTCACAGCTGTTGCAAAAACAGTGCCCACAGTCCATTCTTGTGGCTTCATGACTGGGAACATCCTCTATGCAGATATCACATCTGACTGAAGAAGGAACTGATGGGTCAGGATCACACTGTCCATCCACACTAACACCAGCTTCAGCAAACAAGGCAGCTTTTCCCTTGTCTACATACACTTCAAACAATGTCTCCACATCCCAACGATGATAAATAAGCAGAGTACGTGCATGGTGCTCTCTTAATGATAGCATTTCCATTACTCGGCGCAAATCCTCTTTCTACAAGAATGTGCATTAAGAACTCTCAGTAAAACTTAAAAGTAAAGTTTATCTAAGTAATAAATGATGTAGCAATTCAACTGTTTAGTGGTTTTCCTTTTGTCTCGTTTTACCTGTGCAGCTAGAAGTGATTCCCTTGTAATCACCTGAAACAAGGATAGTATTTCAGAAAAATAATGTGAACATAGGAAAAATAGCATAAAGAACCCACCTTTACATAACAGTAGAGAGTTCAGTATACCTTTTATTTTATCAGTCACCCTAAATCTAGCATGCTATAAATATGCTTATCAGTCAAAAGGAGCTTCCCATCGGAATCAAAAATTTCATCACGCCCAGCTACCTCGTTAAAATCAACACCAAATCATGGATTCAACAAATTCGATGTTACAATACTCAGTTTCAAGCATTCTCATAGTCCATAGATTAACTAAGGTATCACTTGTCAAAAAGGAAAAAAGGGGACAAAAGAACTCCTGAATCGCAATACCAGTAGATTCCAAACGTAAACAATCTATTTAAAAGAACTCAGGGAATGTACTTCACAAAGAAGACAAACAATTCGCAACCAAAATGATCAAGGAAGCCCAAGAAACAACAACCCCGGTTCAACAAGCAAAACAGCGAAAATAACATATACTTTACCACCCAAAGCAAACCAGAACCCACCAAAAAACGTTTTGAGTTACCCATCCAAAAAAGAGGAGGAGGAGGAAGAAACAAGCGATTGAACAACAATTAGATTCTATGTTTCCTAATCTATATTGGGGAAAAAAAAATGGAGCAGCGCAACCGAATACCAGAGTTGTAGGACCCTTGGGAGTGACCAACCGAATATCGGGCTCATCGTTTTCAAAGCCTTCCACGGAGCCCTGATCGGAGTAATGATAATCTTCATCGCTGCTCAAATAGTCGTCCATCCCTCACAAAGAAATTAGATAGGGAAGATTATAGGACAAACGTAAAACGGCAAAATTTAAGGGTTTTGGGTATAGATACGTTTGAATCGACAAGGAATCAATCAAATTCGGTAATCGGAGTAAACGAAGAATAGGGAATTCGGATGAGGGTTGCAGGCGATGATATTGGAGCGTAGAGGGAATAAGTAGTCTACAAAAGCAACAAATAGATTAAGAGTGATTTGGGTGATTGGGGGAAGGAAAAATGGTGATTGGGAGAAGGAATCTCACAGGACCATTACTCAAAATGTTAACATTTCATTCAAAGGGGCCACCAGTATCGTTACCCTTTTTTTTCCCACAAAATTAATCCAAGAAAATGTACAAAACATCTGCTTATAGAGTTAAAATTCTCTTCAAGTCCCTTCAACATGAAACATAACAACTCGTTAAGCGAAAAGTGTTTTTTATATCAAATTTCATGACCATCTCATTGATTGTTAAGGTCTAATTTTTTAAAAAAGCTGTCGTCACCTATTAATTAAAGGACTTCTCATTTTCTCTTTTATTTTATTTTTTTGTGAAAAAAATTTAAATAAGTTAAATTACTCTTCAAAAAAGATTTATAAAAATATTTAAGAATCATCTTTTAATAAGATTCTTATATTAATTGGGGGATTTGGACCTTCAATTTTCTAGCTTATAAGCCACATACTTTATCAAATGGATAGACTTTTGTTGATTTTTTTATTTTAAAATAAACTTGATTGATTGTTATGAGATGAAAGGAAGGTTTTTTTTTTTTTTTTCAGTTTAGATAAGAGTTCTACTTAGACAAAAGAGAGGGCTAGAGGTGGCTATAGCCCCTCTAACTCATTATTTCTTTTAGTAAAATATAATGATTATATTTTTTTTCAATTCTCCTAAATTAACATATTATAAAAATTTTAAAAAAGTTGATAGAATTTTCATCTTAATTCTCTAAGCATATATAATTTTTTATGCATGTATAATATAATTATTTTAATAATTTAAAAATATAGTTGTCATAAAATTTATTTACTTTTAACAATATAATGCTACTCAATGAGTTCATTGTGGACTCTATCCTTATCCAAATCAGAGCCACCATTAGCATTACAATTAAAGCCTTTGCTACTTTTAAGTCTTTGATGTAATCTTGTTTTCTCTCCATTTTGTACAGTTTTTATAGCTAATGAAATCTCATTTCACTCCGAAAAAGAAGGAAGGAAGGAAGAATCAAGTTCAAATATACTATACATGCTTTTAAAATATTGATGTTATTTAATTTTGCTTTTATTTTATATTTAGTAAAAGAAATAATGAAAATTATCACTATCAAACTTTTATCAAATATTGCAACAACAACATTTTATTAAAGAAATATATTCATAATTAAAATGATATTACATAAACAATATACGACCTCTTAGACTATTCTCATCATCCACTGTCCCTTGCAATAAAGATGGAGGATGATCAAAGGTACAAAAATTATCATCTAATATATAAGATATATAGTTATTAGAGCAACAAAAATTTCAAAATATAGTGAATTCTATGTGTTTGATATTTATCATAAAAACATGTGAGCCAATCCAAAAGTTTATGAATTATGGTTAAAATGTTCTTATAAAAAAAATATTATTTTTTTATAATAATTAAGTTATTGAAATTTATAATATAAATAATTTTTATTTTGATATAGTTTGATCTCATCAACATAAATATTTTGTGACAATCAATACATTTATTCATTATAATTATCAATTGAAAAAGGTTGAATAGTAAATTAAAAAGCAAGTAATAGACCTTTTAAATTGGATGAAACTTTAAATCTTAAAAATATATTTAAATCATTCAATTTTTATAGAAAAAATAAAATCTTGACCAATTTAATTATAGTTTATATTGAAAAAATTGTTAAAAAGTTTTATTATAAACGTGATAATTAATTTTTATGTCATAGAAAATTGATGAGTGAAACCCAAAAAATGAAAGTCTATATTTATTTTTGTTATATATTTATAAATATAAATGTATACCTTGGAATACTTATGTTATATTAATAATTTATATAAATTTAACTTTCATCCAACTACTATATATATAACATGCTTTGTCATGATGTTAACCCTTTTAATAAAAATTTTTTGCTCTGTCTCATAGACAACTCCACCTCATTAACTTCTTTTTTATTATATAAAGATACTTACAAATCATTTATCAATAAAATTCTTACATCAATAACAAAATTTAAATTTATAATCTTATAAATCATGAGCTAAATCCATTCTAAGTAAACCAACTTTTGTTCATCTGTACCTTTTATTTTCCTGTACACTCATGCAATATGTAAAAGTTTTTGTACCCTCCATTTAACACCACTCGTTAAAAGGTGAGATAGGAGATTATTATTTTTCAAAGTGTATTATTGAAAAGAATTCATTATACCGAGAAATTTCAAACAGGACAAATATGATTGAAAAAAAAATTATCAGAACAAATAAAGAGGAAGAAAGGAAGTTTAATAATAATAATAATAATAATAATAATAACCCATCAATTATATTTGGATCATTCAATTAAATTATAATTCTCATGCATGATTCTTGACCATAAATAGTAACTAACATAGGTCTTCTATCACAATCTTCCGCTATATTATAACAAAATAAAATAAATATGTTCTAACTGAAGATAGCAAAATGATATCTTGTCTTGTTATCCTAGCTATTTATCCTAGCTGGTCAGGAAGGAAATTAATTGAAAGCGGTGCATAATTAGAAGCCATCTCAAAACTCTTCAAATATCGGACCATGTAATCGAGGATCATCTCTTCCAAGTCTACGCACCTTTTCTTCAACATCCCTATTATAAACTCCACTTTCTTCAATCCCTTCATTTTATTCCCTTCGTCTCTCCTCCAATCTCCGACTGTATCCTCATCAAATTCAAGTACCTGAGGTACTCAAACATATTAAGATCCACATGAAAAAAATGCAACAAACAACCAATATAAAAGCTTGAATATTAAATCAATTGAAATTATCATGTTCAAAAATGCTGGTGTCATCGAGGGACACTCAGCTCAACTACTTGAAAGAGTTAAATTAATTTATTATGAGTCTCTTCCGAGTTCATAAATATGCCAAATGCACCCTTAATATCTCAAGTTTTCCAGCACACCACTAGTTGAAAGAGTTAAATTAATTTATTATGGGTCTCTTCCGAGTTCATAAAAATGCCAAAGGCACCCCCAATATCTCAAGTTTTCCAGCACACCACTCAATTGGTAACAATTATCAAATTTTAAATCAAATAAAATTCGAGTAAAACTAGATAAGCAAAAATTGTCAAAGATAGGTTCAACGTGCAAGTATAGGAAAAAGGAAGAATGGCATTTAAATTAAGACCCTCTCAAGGGTTTTTATCGAGATAAGGGCCAATAAATTTTGCATCGAATATTATTTTGTGAAAACACATATATATTGTTGTTAAAAATTGAACATTAACTTATTAATTTTCTAAGAAAACCCTAACAAAAAATATAAGTTAAGGTTCATCTTTTAACAATAAAGTAAACATGTTTTTACAAGAGAATATCTAATACAAAACTTGTAGGCCCTTATTGTCATAAATTCTCTTGAGAGGACATTAAATAATGTCATTCTCCCTAAAAATAAATGTACATGCACACATACCTCATCAGGATTGGGCGGACTAGAACTTTTGATGGTGAGAGTTCCTAAATTTGGTAGCCTTTTCAAGTAACTACTTACAACATCACCCATATCATAATGATAATGATGCAGTCTGATCCCTATTTGGACGTGGCCAACGTTTTCAAATGAGATGGGTGTCTTTCTAGTTCTATAAAAACCCTGCAAAGCAAAATAAAAAAAAAACTTGTTTAATTTTTCGTGTATATATACAATGCTAAGACTCCAAAAATATTCCAGTTTTGTTATCATGATAGATCCTATAGTGACTAGCAATCTAGTAAATCTTATCATGATACTAGGATATTTTACGAGAATGTTAAGAGTAATTAATTTTTTTCACCTAAAATGCTCCTAACAAAGCATCAAACTCTCTTCCATAAACTCTAACATTTAGGATTCTTAAAAAATGCTCTCGTCCTCGCACTCGGGGGCAACAGCTCTTGCGACGAAGTTTTCGACGAAGGAAAAGGATGCATTGGATTGAAGTCAAAAGAAGGTGCGTAAGGGAGATGCTGGCTTCTCCAGTGAGGTATTGCTTAAGCCTCAGATGGAGCCATGGATGGAAGAAGGAACAACATCTAAGGGTCCAAATGTGCGCTCATATAGGGATTTATTGGTGAAGAATTCCCATTGGCAGTAGAGTGATTTAGATGATGAGGATGATGAGGTGGGTGGTAGAAAGGAGCAGCGAAATGGTTAGAAGATAGGATTTGAGGAGGTGAAGGAGCCATTGAAAGGAATTTCAGTGGATTTTAGTAATCCTTTGTGCCTGAATTTTGTGTTAGATGATGTAGAAAAGGAAAGATTACTGAAGCCTTTTAAGAGAACGCTGGTGGTAAAGTTGATTAGGAAGAAGGTTCGTTTGGCTCTGCTGATTCAAATTTTGAAGCAGATTTGGATGCACAGTGGGCAGAATAGGGTGACAGACTTGGTAAATGATTTTTACCTTATGAAGTTTCAGAGACAAGAGGATTATGATCCGACTCTTACTGGTGGTCCATGGACAATGCTTGACAATTATTTGAGTGTTATGCAATGAAGGCCTGATTTTGATCTGAAGAAGGAAGTCATTGATCGAGTTGTTGCTTGGGTAAGGCTTCCTGATCTTCCTACTACTCATTATGATAGGAAATTCTTGTTTAATCTGAGTTGTGCTATAAGGAAACCTATTAAGGTGGATGTTCTTACAGCTTTGAGGGGGAAAGGGAAGTTCGCTAGATTATGTGTGGAATTGGATTTAACTAAATCTTTACTGCCTGAATATAGTATTAAAGGGGTGGTTAAATCAATTGAGTATAAATGTATGAGTTTGCTTGCAAGTATGGTCATGTTCGTGTGGATTGTGAGGATTTGAAGAAGACTAAAAAAGAGAAAGTGACTGTGGGGGAACCTGAGAAAGTGGATAATGTGGAGGAAAACTCGAGGAATGATTTCAAGATGGTTGAGGAAGAAAGGCCGTGGAAACTTTTTCAGCGAACTAAACAAGTACGGAAGAGCAAGTTGGAAAAGAAATTCCAATGTTGGGAACATATTTGCAGTCCTTAAAAATAAGGACGTGGGTGTGGTGAAACTTCCAAGGAAAATTCTGAAGGATATCTCAAATGGTATTCAGTCTGAGGATAGTAGTGTGAGAATTAATAGAAGGGCTGGAAAGGAGCCGATGGAAGTCATTAACCTGGTTGTGGCACCAAGGGTGAGATAGCTTGTGTTGAGGATATAAATGAGATGGTTGAGGATAATAGGTTACTGAATAAACCTACTGTAGAAAAGTTTGTGTAAGCTCCTAAAAGATTTCAATTACATTCAAGAGTTGATATGATGACAGATAAGGAATAGGATGGGGGAAGTTTGAATGGTTATATGGTGAAGGATGAGGAGGATGATGATGTTGATGAGGATGTTGATGAGTGGGGATGATAGTGAGACGATGGATCATGAGGAGATGGTTGATGATGGCAAATTTTAGTTTACTAGTTACTGTTGTGTTTGAGTTATGATGAAAGTCCTTGTATGGAATTGTAAAGGGGCAGCTAACAATGGTTTTGCTATGTCATTTAAGAGTTTGTGTAGAGAAAATAGACTAGCTTTGGTTATGTTGTTGAAGCCCTAGTTTAGTAGGGTGACTGCTAGAAGAATAATCAGGAATTTAGGTTTCTAAGTTGCTTTGTTACAAGAGGCTAATGGTTTTGCTGGTGGAATTTGGTTACTAAGGAAGGATGATAGTATTAAAGAGGAAGAGGTTATGATTTATGAGCAATTTATACATTGTAAAGTTGATGAGGATTGAACATTTACAACTGTGTATATTAATCTACATGAGCGTAAGAGGGGTGACGTGTGGGAAGTAGTTGGAAATATGAGGAAAAAGTAGTTGTTGGCAGGTGATTTTAATGAGATTGCATCACCGGTTGAGCATAGAGGGGGCATAAGAGTTAATATGGCTAGATGTAATCATTTTAATCAGTGGATTAATCATAATGGGCTTATTGATATGCATGCAAAGGGGCCTTTTTTCATATGGGTTGGTCCAAAATGGCAAGGTATGGATCGATTGTTTAAAAGATTAGATCGTGGATTGTGTAATGATTTATGGTAGGAAAATTTTTGTGATACTGAAATCAAAGTGTTGATGAGGTTAGGTACTGATCATCATCCTCTACTCATCAATACAAAACTAGAATGGAGAAGTAAGGGGGTTCAGCCTTTCATTTTGGGGGAGCTTGGTTGCTTCTTGAGAATTTCAAGGACTTTCTTGGTTTGAATTGGAGGAGTTTTTTTTTTTTTTTAAAGACTCCTATTGCATTAAATGTCTTACAAGGAGATTTGAAGGTTTGGAATAAGGAGGATTTTAGAAGAATTGAGGTGCGTATTAAAGAATTAAAGAGGAAATTATATGAGATACAGATTCAAATGGAAAGAAGGGAAGAGGCAGGGCTGTTAGATTTGGGAGGAGGTACAGCAAGAATTGAATGAGATTTTGGCTTAAGAGGAGGTAATTTGGTATCAAAAATCAAGGAGTGGGTGGATTGAATAAGGGGATAGAAATACAAGATATTATCACATGAAGACAATGGTGAGAAGAAGGAGAAATAAGGTGAGTATATTGAGAACAGTGATGGTATTTGGGTTAATGAGGAAGAAGAGGTAGGAAAATTAGTTCAAGATTTCTATGAGAATCTATTTTTTGAGAAGATTCGGTTCAGACCTTGGCATGTTACTAGATAGGGAGGGGGTAGTGTATCTGATGATGAATTGACAAGAATAGGGAGGATGAGATTCAATGTGCTTTCTTTGATATGGGAGGTGCTAAGACACCAGGAAAAGATGGTTTCCCAGCTATCTTTTATCAGCATAACTGGAAAATTGTGGGGCCAAATGTGAAAAAACTTGTCATGGGAATGTGGAAGAATCCTTTGAAGATTGCAAAAATTAACAAGACATTGATTGTTATGATTCCGAAGGTTGAAAATCTGAAGGTAGCTGCTCAGTTTCGGCTTGTTTCACTTTGTAATGTTCTTTACAAGGCCATTACAAAGATTGTGGTGAACAGATTGAAAGTTGTTACAGATAAGGTAGTTTCTCCTTTTCAGGCAAGTTTTATTCCAGGGAGGAATATTCAGGATAACATTGTGATTGCTCAAGAAATGGTTCATATGATGAATAAAATGAATGGTGGGAAGAGTTTCATGGCCATTAAAATAGATTTAGAAAAGGCTCATGATAGGATCAATTGGCCTTTTCTTTATATGTGTTGATTGAAATTGGTATTCCCATGGATATTATAGAAATGACAAAAGCATGTATCAGAACATCTATGTTTGTGTTGTGGAATGGTGTTAGAAGAGAGGAATTTATGCCTTCAAGGGGGGTTAGGCAGGGAGATCCTTTATCTCCATATTTTTTTATACTTGGGATAGAAAAGTTGTCTCATTTACTATCTGATTTTGTCAATCAAAATGAATGGAAGCCACTGAAAGTTGGGAGAAATGGGGAACAAATTTCTCATCTAATGTTTGCAAATGATCTTCTGTTGTTTTGTGAAGCTAGTGTTGACCAATGTGTCATGTTTTGAAGGTACTTGAGTTATTTGGTGTTATTTATGAGCAAACGATGAACAGACAAAAAACATCATTGTTCTTTTCGAAGAATGTTATTAGGTTACAAAGAAAAAAGATATGTGATGTTAGTGGTTTCCAGAGGACAGAGGAGATTGGAAAATATTTTGGGACTTTTATTGTTAATAGAAGAGTTGTCAAAGACAAATTTCAGTTTTTAGCAGTGTTTTTAAAACCGAATCGGACCGGCCGGTGGGACCGGTCCGATCATCGACCGGTTTGGTTTCCGGTCTAGTTCAGAGGAAAAAGCCGTTTTAGGGGTTGAGCCGTTTCGAATTGACAGTCGGACCGAGAACCGAAATCAAGCCAGGAATCGGATCCGGTTTTCAAAAACTGGACTGTTAAAAAAAAATTTTATTTTTTTAAAAAAATGACTAATTTTTTTAATCATTTGATATTATGTTGTATCATGTGACTTGTTAAGTCATGATAAACTTAAAATATTAAATTTTTAAATAGCAATTTCATATGTATTTCTTATATTTAGATTATTATATACATATATAATTTTTTTTAATTTAATTATTACGTCACCGGTTGGACTATTGGTCCAACCCGGTTGAACCATGCGAACCATGAACCGCTGACTTTTTCGGTTCAACGTCCGGTCCGGTTCTGAAAACATTAATTTTTAGTGAGCAAGGTTCATAATAAACTAAGTAGCTAGAAGAAGCAGTGTTTATCTCTCACTGGTAGATTAACTTTGGTGCACTTAGCTTCATTTCAGATTGCTGTGTTCACCATGCAACACTCTCAAGTTCCTAAGGGTATTTGTTGCAAAATTAAGAGAATACAAAGGGACTTTATATGGGGCAATTGTGACGAGAAAAGAAGTATTCATGCTGTAAGTTGGGATACCCTTTGTGTTCTAAAGGAGAATGGTGGTATTGGGTTGAGCAATAAGGAATTAATGAATGAGGCGTTGATTGGCAAAATTGGGTGGAACATGCTGGCAAAACCTTTGAATTTATGCTCAGTTGTGATGGCAAAGAAAGCAGTTCTCTGGTTGATTGCAAGGTGAAATCATATGATTCCTCATTATGGAAAGCTTGGCACAAGTATGGCCTAAGATCTCTTAATTTTGTATCTTGGGAGGTGAATGATAGGGCTAAAATGAACTTTTGGAAAATGTGTGGGTTGATGATGTGGGATGTTTGCTGGATAATTGTTTTAGGAGGCCTAAGGCAACATTGTCAGATTGTTGTGTTAAGAAGTTAGTGGGTGAAAATGGTGAATGGGAATTCTGTTTTCTGAAAGATCATTTGTCTAATGATGTTTTGCTTAAATTGTGTACTATTCCTATGCCAAGAAACCATGTGAGATGAAAGAGTTCTAATTTGGATAAATACAATGTTGCAGACATGTATAAGTTTCTATATGATAAGGAGAATATCCCTTGTGATGAGGTTTGGAATGGGATATGAAGATGGAAAGGTCCAAGATGAGTGCAAGTTCTTTTATGGCTTGCAATGCATGAGAGATTGATGACATCTGTAAGATGATGAAGGATGGTGGGTGGTTCATCTATTTGTTGTAGGTGCAATGTGGAAGAGGAGGAAGTGATGCATGTCTTACGTGATTGTGTGGAAGCTAAGAAAGTCTAGTTTGCCCTTGGCTGTGTGAAAGTTGCAGGTGAACTCTTTTCTTCACAGAAAAAGAACTGGTTTATTAAGAATTTAAGAGGTGAGAAGGAATAGGGGAAAATTTTTTCTGTCACATGTTGGTGGTTATAGTATTGGAGGAATAAGATCTTATTTGAAGAAGGCTATGAGATGGTGTTGTGTCCTGAAAGGCTTATATTGAAAAATGTGGAGGACATGACATGTTTGACAGGTCAATCTAGGTTACGAAGGATGAAGAGACAAAAGGTTGAGATTAAATGGAGCTCTCCTGCAAAAAGTTGGATAAAACTCAGTTTTGATGGGGCTTCAAAGGGGCAGGAGTGTTTAGCTGGTTGTGGTGGTGTGTTTAGAAATGCTAACAGAGAAGGGGTTGGCAGTTATGCAAAGAAACTGGGTTCATGTTCTGCGTTTATAGCTAAGTTATGGGGAGTTTATTGGGGGTTTGAAATGTGCAAAGGAGAGGAACTATGCACATTTGGTGATTGAAGGGGATTCCTTATCGGTTATTCAAGCTATTAAGAAGGAGCTTGTGTCTGCTACAAAAGCTGGGGGGATTATGAAAATGATTTGTGAATTGTTGATGTCTAAATGGTGGATTGAAGTTGTGCATATTCACAGGGAGGGCAACCAATGTGCAGATTGGTTGGAAAATTCTAGTTTTTCTCAAGAGTTTCATCTGTGGTTTTTTTAATGATTCTCCAGCTGGTTTAATTCAGATTTTGTATTGGGATTCAGTGGGTGTTTCACTCACTGGACATGTTGCTGAATAAAAGGGCATTGGCCCGTATAGTTTACCAAAGAAAAAAAAAAACTCTCTTCCTTATATTTTGTTTCCCATGCATTGTGGAACTCTCTTTTAAGATGATCTATGGGTGAGTAAATTTAGAAAGGGAAAAAAAATAGAGCATTAAATAACAAAAACAATTTTTCTTAGTCTCAAAGGCAGTTAAAAAAACATATAATAATAAATGGAGGGAGAGACGTTTTATAGTTACAATGGCCTGCTCATCTTCTTTTGTTTTTTTTCCCTGTGATTGTCCTCTTTTATTCTGAACTGTAAAACTACTTTATATGTTTTTTAACTAATATATTCATTTGACTTTCTTTTAAAGAGAGAGGGAGAGTTTTTCCCTTTATTAAAAAAAAAAATCAGAGAGTGTAAACTACAAAATAGAGATCAAATAAATTCGCGAACTGACCTCAAGCACCAGCATATCTATATGCAGTATTCGGGCCCAGGGTAGAGCTTCATTTAATTGTATGAACAGATTCAGCTTCTATGTTGAATGGCAGCGTCCAGTGACAACCACGAGATTCAAATTTTTGAAGGTTCCTTCACAACAAAGCCTTTCTGGAAGACCTTCTAAGGTTAAGCTTTGTAGATTAGGTGCAGTGATCTCAACTAGATACTCTTGGTCCCAAAAAGCATGAGCGCAAAAATAAAGTTCAGTACAAACGCAACTGAAGCCTCGTAGGTTCTGTGTGATAACTCTCACAATCTCATAAATGCAACAATCGTGAATGGCTAAATCCTCCAAACGTGAGCTTCGTATTGTAAGGTCATGTTGTTTTGTCTTCATGAAATCCTCCTCCATGTTGATATGTATGAGGGATAAACGTCTGAAGGATGGGAAACTCTGAGAAACCCCCTCGCCAATTGGATCATTAGTTAAAACACATCTCATATAAAGGGTCTCGAGAGAAGCGAGTTTTATCTCAGGAAGCTTCACTGTGACAAGGCAACATATTCAGCTTCAGAACTTTCAAGGACTGAAATCTGCAGAGGCTTTTGACGATGGAAGGTAGTTTGTAATGAACAGAGAGTTCATCTACATGGAAAGCCCGAAACAATGTACAGATCCAATGCTCATGAAGCTTACAGTGTCTGAGTTTCTTGCAGAAAGATAAGAAAGAAAGTTTGTTAATTTTCAAAGCAAGCAGACGATGTCAGGGAAGAGAACTCATGAAATTGAAGACAGGTTTGCAGGAGCACTTGCGAGAATAACGACGTTGAGAGAAGCAGAAGGAAGGGGTCGTGAATCAAAGGGTCTGGAACCTTCTAGACAAGGCTTGAAGTCTTAGTCTTACTGTGAGGTCGTCTCCAAGCAAAGAGAAGATCTGGTGAAGAATGTCATCTGGTAAATCGCTCAGTAAATCTTCAGCTTTTGCTTCCATTGTATATATGCAACTCTACCTGCAGGTAATGAATACTCAATGCTTCAGAATTATCTATTTTATGGTTTAAATTCTCGAAAAATCTAAACTAACAAGATGCAAAGAAGAAAATAATATTTTCTGGCCCTAAGGGTGTACAGAGTTTGATATGGAAGTGGAAGGGCATTAGAAGAATCCAGGTGTTTTTGTAGTTTACTGTGCTTTGTCTGTAGATTTATGGTATGAAGTTGGCAGAGTTTGTGTTTCCCAAACTGATACTTGAGGGAGAGTGTTCAACTGTGATTACAATGCTGAGGGAGGCTTGGAGCAGTGAGGTTGGTAAGGATTGGCAGGTTCAATATTGTCGCATGTTGAGAAGGCAATTTTTGTGCTGACTTTTGGGTAGTGTTTGGAAGTTTTTTTAGGGACAGAATGGAATGGGATGGGATGACTAGAAGTTTTACAATATTGTTTTTGAGATTCTTTTTGAAAAAGGGTGGGAATGACTTGGGATGGCTTTTCCAAGCCACCATAAAACCATTTCATCCTGATGAAATGGCCTTGTATAAGAAATATTATTACAAAATTACCCTACTCCTTCTCACCTTTCCCCCTCTTCCACTCTCTATCATCCTAAAACTAGAAAACATAATCATGTCTCTTTCAAATCTATTAATTTTATAATGATTCTTTAAGTAAAATTGTTCGTTCCTTTAATAAAATTTTCAAACGATGAAATGTTACACTCCATTTCATGACCGTTCCTTTTTGTTTCTATCATATAGTATCAGCATACCCTTACCTTGTTAATGGGGGACGAATTTGGCATATTAAGTAGGAGCAGGCTTTAAAATATACTAGATGGGAGTAAGCTTTCAAGCCTAAGCAACTCAGTCTCGACTCTCTGTACTTTTATTGAAATTCATGTACAACTTAATACACATAATTTGACTTGATTCGGTATAACTTACCTAGCCGATTCAAAACAGCAATTAAATGATTAATTTTACCAATTATTTTTTAAGATTTGATACCCATAAAAATATTATAAAATCTTAAAATCATTAAATAATAATAACATTTTATAATAAAAATAATAAGCAAACATGAGATGATTTATGTTTCTTAAGATATTCTACAAAAACTTTCTTTTTATAAAAGTATTAAATTATCTAAAAATCACTTTTTTAAAAACAAAAATTTAATTTCCCATCACTGTAAGCAATAATAAAACATACTTTTTTTATTAAAAAATATAAAGTATTTTTTAAAAGATTGAATTTTAAAAAATATAAGATATTTTTAATTTTTTTTAAAAATATCATGATAATAATTTTATATCTATTGTAGGATATTTAATAAAAATAAATATAAAAAGATAAGATTAGTTAAAATAGGAGATGAAATTCGATTAAAAATTTTTTTTGTCCAAGGGGGAGTATAATGCAATTATCATGACAATTTTCAATCAATAAGATGAAATGAAAGCTAATTTGCTAAAACATATCATATCCCGTTTGGTGGGGATGAATTCTTAGAGCTAATTTGCTAAAACGTATCATATCCCGTTTGGTGGGGATGAATTCTTAGTTTGGAGTACAGGAAGATTCGAATCGAACCTGAAGCAAGAAGGAGCTGACGATGAGTGCACAAACGAAGCCGCAAACGTCGATCCCCGGGGCTGAGAAGGAGGCTGGAGCACGAAGTTGGAGAGGAGAGGATGACAGGTCGATGCCGATCTTGGGCAATGGACAACCTCGAAGAATAGCGGGTGACGGCGGCGGGTAGCAGGGAGTTGCGAGGGCAGCCGGCGGCGGCGTTGGCAATGAGAAGAAGCAAATAAGATTCAGCGGGCGAAGGAAGAGGCGAGGCCACCGGAAAGAGAAGGCTTCTTTTTTTTTTTTTTTAATGAGGAGAGGAGAGGTGATATCATTGTAATGGGCTGGGCCGAGAAAGAAGTAACATTTAAGTCCAGGGTTTAACATTTGTTTCCCATGAAAATATTACTTATTTTTTTAAAAAAAAACATTTTATGATATTTATTTAAATTTTTAAAAATAATCATAATAAATAATGATTCTGAGAACCTATTTTGAATTTCTCCTAAAAATAATTTGATGCACCAAAATATCATAAAACTTTAAAACAATCATGCCACTAGAAAGATTTAGCACCCTTTTTTTTTTAAACACAATTATTTAACCTTGGCATGGTAGGAAAATGTCTACCATGTTAATTAAGAAAAAAATCATCCTTTTAAATCACTATAATGATAGAAAAAGTTATATTATAGTAGAAAGAATTAAACCACATTTATAAAACATTATTGTAATAGAAAAGAATTCACTACGGTAAAAAGAACTAAATTTAATGAGTAAAACCAATCATGATAAATAGAAGTTTTTTAACTGTGAAAATGTACCAAAAACAGGACCCTACAATAAATATAAGTTTAAAGCTCCAAAATATTGTGATAATTCACAATAATATTTGAATAATCTATACAAGGGTAATTTGGTACCCAAAAAAGTTTATTAAGGGTAAATAAGTTAAAAAAAGACTACTATGTAAATAAAAACATGAAAAAAGGAAATTTTAGAAAAACATCACATTCATCATGGCCAATGTAAAATTCTAATTTTTAAATTGAGGAGTTAAATTAGATTTATTATTAATGTGAGGTTTTAATTGAATAATTAATTGTGATTGAGGTTAATTAATTATACTACGCACTTAATTAGGATTGATTTGGGCCTAGAATTATGTAATACGGTTAGTTGAGATCCAAAATAAGCATTAGGTCAACTTACATCTAATAGATTGGGTTTAAGTGAGAATTTTGCATTCTATGTATTGTACCATGACACACAACACTTTTTTGGCATTAAATTTCAGTCCCGAAGCATAAAGGAGAGGAAGGAAGGCAAAAGAGTTTTGAGAAAAAAAATTAAATGTTATGCTAGAGTTTTGATAGGAGCATTCATTGGAGATGGATTTGAGGTTTTAAAAACTGAAGGTAACTATGAATATCATATTTTATCCCGCCCCCGTAAATAAATAAGATAGCATCTATAAAAAATAATAAAAAATAATAATTGTAAAGACCCTAGCAAATAACATGACACACACACACACATATAAATAAATAATAAGCAATAAAATTGTTCAAAACCCAACAAGCAAATGAAAATAATAATTATAAAGAATAATAAATAAGCATAATAAAAACTATGGAAACAATAAAAATGAATAAAAAAGATAATAGACAATAGGGATATAAATCACAAATCACAACAACAAAATAAAATAAATAAACAAATAACAAGTTAAAAAAATTAATGTGAAAACAATTATAATGACACAAATATAATGGAGTCAGATCACATTGCAATCAATATCTAATATAACAACATAAAGATTTGAAATTGATAATTTCAAAATAATATAAGCAAAATATAACAATAGATAACAATCTTCATTAATATCTAATCTTTAAATGATAATCAGTTTACGAAGATAACAAAAATATGAAAATAATGATATAGATTATTTAAGATCACGATATAATTGAGATTCTAAAGAAACTTTTGATGTAGAGGTATGCATGAGGGGAAGCAAGAGGGGCAGTTGCAAGTTAAGGAAAGTAAAAGAGAGAAATTGATGTAGATATACAAAAGTAACTCAATGACCGACTTCGAAAATTTAGTTAGTGAGGGTAAATGTTAGCCAAATATAAATATTACAATTTTATCAAATTATGATTCTAAATATCTAATAAATCAATATAAAAATAAAATTTAATAAGATTAGTTACCAGAGAACTAGTATGTTCTTATAATCATATCCCCTCCTTCCTAAATTATAAGACCATTTTAAAGGTATTTAGTTGTCACAAAATACAATACTCTTTTTATTAAAAAATTTAAGACATTTTTAATTGAATTTAACCCTCAATAAAATAGTTACTTATCCTCAAACTAACACTATCTTTTCATATATTCTCCTATTTAATTGGGTGTTGTGTTCTAAAATAAATATAAAGTGATTTATTCATTAGGGATACTTTTGAAAAAAGGCAATAATTATATCTTGAAAGACTAAAAATATCATACATTTTTAATATTTAACCTATCAAAAATTACCTTATATTTTTTAACGCAAGGCGTACAATTTGATTCAAATAAGATTTCATTGATAATATTTTTTCAACATTAGTGTCTAAGTAGAGAGATAGTTGAAGTGATTGTAGTGTAATGATTAATCTGTAAAATTTATGGCATTTTTGAAACTTTGTATTTTTGCTTTTAAAAAATTAATTTTATAAAGTGTCATTATTGAACTTTATTTATATGCATAATCTTATTTCAATTTTTTTTGTAATAATTTACAATAGAAGGAGCATGGTAGAAAACTATATTTTTAGATATACATGTTTCATGTTTTTAAAAAATAAATGGGTTCAAACATACATTTTGTTTTGGGTTGGGGGCAAAATGAAATTTTTTAAAGGAGGCAAATTAAATTTTTAAGTGTTTATATGTAATATATATATATATATATATATGGACCCTATAGGTAATATTAACTTTTTGCTAGTACGGGCAAGTGCCCCTTCATCATAAATGTCAGCCCATTTATGAAAGTAAGGGTGTTCATAGGATAAGACGAGATCGGGACATCCCTATCCGGTGTCCTATATCAAAAAATGATTGAGACTTAAATTTTGGCCCATGTCTCATATCGTCTCGAAAGTCCCGTCCCATATTGAAAGGAGTTGGGATGAGATCAGATGTCCTGAATCATAGTTAGCCTAATTAAATTTTGTAATTCAATCATAAATGATCTTTCAACATAAATCAAATACCACAAATACAAGGCAAATTGTAAAAGGTATGATCCAAGAGCAAATTATGAGAACAATAGCAGTGAAAAAGACAGCTTCCACTAAAAGCCACAATAGTACCTTCTTTTGAACAAATTAAAGTAAGAGATCGATGAAAAATTAAAAATGCACAACTACTCCCACATATATGGCTTGAATTAAAGAAGCTTGTATATGTTATACGTACCCTTCCTTTTTGGTAGCATATTTATAAACTATGATGACATAGACGAACTCAAGAAGTGTGAACTTGTGATGAAATCACCTTTCCTTTCCACCAGATAGGTACAACAGCGTTGAAAGAAGAAAAAGAAGAATAAGAAGGACGCAAGTAGAGATCTAAGGTAGAATTGAGATAGAGATGAGAAGGAATCGACATGTGATGGAGGGATAAGGCAGAGAGGAGAGGAGCTTAAGTAGAGATGAGATAGACTAGAGGAGAATGACTGACGCCCAATGCTGTGGTGGTCATAAGATTTACATCATCTTTTGTGGTAGAACTATGTGTGACTATGAAGAATGAAGGTTGGATTTAGATGACTGGGAGGGAAGTGCGATAAAATTGGGAAAGTGGAAAGTAGGATTTGGGATAGTGGGAAAGTGAAATTCAAAGACTAAGGGAGAGGCTGCAAGCAAAATAATGAGATGTAGAATTTAAAAAAAAAGATAATACACCTACTATAATCGAGATAGGATGGGATGTCCCGAAGGTGGACTCGAGTCTCATTTTGTCCCATGCTTATTTCTATCCTGTCCTGCAAAAGTCCTATCCCCAATCTTTTTCAGGATGGGAAAAACCTGTCTAGATATGATCAAAAATCATTGAGTTGAGTTCGGGCCAATCGGGACAAGTCTAACTTAAACACTCCTACATGGAAGTAAGTTTATCTTTCCTTAAGTTTTAAACATGCTGGTACATGAAGGAAGGTTTCACAAATCATCATAAAAGTTTTGAAGCTCAAGCATTAAAGCTTTTGGATATTTTTTCACCACATAATGATGGTGGTTCTTTCCATTATGAGACTAGACATTCATTTCATGCATGCAGTCGCATTTTGAATCCTCCACCAATTACATGTGATCCCATGACTAGAGCTTACCTAGCCTCATGGTGTCATCTTGTTATGAAAACATATGATAGATGATAATCTTGGTACCATAATTGAATTTGGAGATACATAACATATGTAAATATTCACAAGAAATTATAAGAAAGAAGTTTTAAGGTCTAAATCAAAGGTTAACATCTATTGGATCTTTGTTATAAGCAAATGATATCCTAATCATACGAAATTATTTTTACTGTGTGAGATTTTTAAAATCCTCCTAAATTTATAAGTTAATTAACTTATTATGTGTAACCTCCTTAATTTTAAATCAAGATTAATTAAGTTTAAATGAACTAATAAAGTGTATTTGTGAGGTATGTGTCCAGAAAAGCCTAATAGACGTGTTTGGTCTTGATTTCAGTTTGAAATGCGGGTTCAAAGAAGAATTGGGTCACTCGAGAATAGAAAAGGAAGAATTTCTGAAGGAAGAGATTCTATGCCATGCACCGCATCTTATGGTTAGTTCACCACGGCTCATGCATAACAATACGCCTGGGAGAGGCTCTCTCTGCCATGTGCCTTAGCGCATTGTGCATCCGCTGTGACGCATGGTCAAAATTTTACAGTATTAAGTTGCGAACCAGAAGTAGAAGAGAAGAGAAAAGAAAAGGAACCGAAAGAGTAATGAAAGAGCTAAGCTAAGGCTTAAAGAAATGGATTGTTAAGAGTAAATTGGAGCTCATAAACACCCAAGGTAAGCTTCCTTATTTAAATCCTCCTCTCTTTTTCCATTTTTTTGATGATAGAGGTTAGGGTTTGATTATTAATGATGATTTTCAGTCCATGAAAGTTATGGATCCAAACCCATTAATCTAAATAAAGTTAATGGGAGTAGATTGAGCGAAGTAAACTTGATACTTATGATTCTATAATAATTGGTGGTTAGAGAATATTAAATGTCTGAAATTCCCATAAATTAGGTGGTTAGGAATAATGTAGCTTTATTAATGCCCATCTAAGAGCTCAATGTTATTAATGAGAGTTAAAGAAGCTAAGAAATCTTATGGGTAATTTTACATGAGTCTAGAATAAATCTTGAGTATTAAGAAATGATGAAATGTTAGTAGAAAATAGCTCAAAATGGATATTGATGTTTTGAATAGTAAATGCTTGTAGTGTAACTACCTTTGGCACCATTCAAGCTTCTTGAAAACTTTAGGAGTAGGTAGTTGAGGGGTGAAACCTTTGATCTCTCAAAGG